ACATTCCTCGGAGTGAAGACCCGCTAAAATATTGGATCAAACACAAACATGTGTACCCACATCTATTTGTATTAGCACGTAATCTTTTGAGCATTCCTGCCTCATCGCGCCTTTTTTCTAAGGCAGGGGAAGTAGGATCTACAAAAAGAAAATTGTGTATCTCAATAAAAATTATATTGCTTACATATATATATATATATATATATATATTAATTCTTCTGCTATTATGATCACGAACATAACATGCACAAAGATGCAGAAAGAAATAGATAAGTGTTTGTTCCACTTCTTCACTTCTTGCCAATGTAGAGAATTGAAATACACAAACAAGGACACAATTCAAACCTGAAAAACAACAGTTTTATTCATATAGGAATCCATGTATTTATTAGATGATTTATTGGTTCAACTTTTCATAATCATGTTCAACCCACAGAGACTGGGCCAAAATATACTGGAAGGCTATTCAATACATTTGCTCTATAGGTTTTCAACAGCAGAGGTCCCCATAGAGTTTGCGATGCATTGAATGAATGAACCTTTTTCCGATACAATTGGCTGGAAAGCTTCACTGGTTCAGAAAGCTTCACTTTGCCATCACTAATTATGAGTAGTGCAGGATGTGCATGAGGGTAAAGTGTAAATGATGGGTGTTGTCAAGGGCATTTAACCAAAAGGAAACAGGATTCAACAAGCGGCTGCCCTACCACACGGGACGTCTGCTGGAGAGAGGAGAGAGCGACAGAATGAATGAATGAACACAGGGCTTTCTAATCTCAGGGCACCCGGCCCAGGTGCCTTCAATCACCAAAACCAAATCTCATTGGAAGGCTGCTGCCTCCACAGCAGGGGTCGTCACACCAATGTTTAAATCAATATACATACATCATTAAATCAACTTGAACATTTGAATGTTTCTGCCTGTGTTTGCAGGGCTCCAGAGTCAAGCAGCTGAAAGCTCAGCAGGGTCCATTCAGTCTGGATCAGACAAAGATATCTGAAGATCCAGAAGGATTAAGGGTATAAACCAGCAACTTACAGACAGAGGCACATTGCTCTCAGTGCCCCACTGCCCTGCCGCTGGCTGCCAATCAGAGGGGGAACCAGCTGTCAGCTGACTATGGAGCACAGTGAGCACTTTGCATCACACCTCAAAGACAAGATATGGACGGTTTCCGTGGCTGCAGATTGATGTTGTCTTTTAGAAAAGGAAAAACAACAACCGGCAACATGTTAGCAACTGTTTACTGAAAAACTCTGGTTTCAACACCTGATATGCAGCTGACAAGCACACATTCTGGCCTCCTGAGGCCCACTAGACAAAAGCGGTGCTGGACTTCATACAGTGTTTTCTCACCTAACTGGACTTCATACACTGTTAGCTCACTCAACCAGAGATTCATGCACTGTTAGCTCACCGAACTGGTGATGTTAAGGTTGTTCGTTGTGTATGTTACAGTCATCTAACCTTATTGTGGGTTAATGAAGGTTCAGGGGCAGAGGTGAAGGGAGATGAATGACAGTGAATGTTCAGTGAAATGATCACTATGTTACCTTGAGGAGTACACACTGAATGCCTGAAGAAAGACATTATAAAACAAAGAAAATTGTTGTGGAATTCTCTTCTCTGTCAGGTTCAGTTGGTTCAGTTGAATTTGATTTCTTACTAATTGTCTCATCCGCATGAAGAGTGAGCTGATATTAGGAAGCCTTTCAGCTCCATTCCTGGACACATCGTTACAATGCATAACTTTTTAGCCTGTTGATTCATCCCGGGACCAAAGATTAATGAAGGAAACAATGGTTCTTACTATCAGGATGTCAGCTTCAGCTGGAGCAACTGAGCATTCGTTAAGGAAACCGTATTATGATATGAAGGAACAAAAGTCAGAAACAGGTTTAAAAAGTAGTAAACTACTTAAGACTGCTGCAGTTCACTGTTATCGCCCAGTTTAGTTTAGATTTCATCCAGACTTGTTGTGATCTTTCAACCATTAACTATGAGAGCAAACGGAAAAGTAAAGTGTTTTTCAAAGGCCCCCTCAACAAATAAATAATGTATATCTTTGAATAATATTCGTATATTTATTTATATATATACATATATATATATATATATACAGTATATACGTACATTGTTTCATATTTTGCACATTTATTAAATTTATTTCCCGAACTAATGTTTTATTCCGGAATTAATGTCCTCCTTTGATATCTATATCATCTTTGAGTTTCACTTTCCACCAGATTATCTGTTGATTATTAAATCCCTTTAGATTCTGTTAATTTAAGAATACAACAAGAATTATTAACAATGTCAAGTACCTTCCCTTCACCGAAAAGAGTCAAGACGATGCGAGATTCTTTTAAAACTGGACCTTTATCCTTTTTCTATAATTTCAGATGATATTTTTCTATCTCCCCTGTGAACTCATTGAACATCCAATCAGTTTGATCAAGTGATGGCGGATTAAAATGGTGAAAATGAGATTGAACACAAAATGTTGTTTGTTTGTGACTTTTGTTGTTGAAAACAAGTGTTTCACTAATTGTCCTTATAAGATTGTATCTTTTTGGTCTATAAGAATTCACATGTCAATAATGCACAACACTTTTTTCAGCTTTATCCTCAGAGATTTTGTGCTTTCTCGCCTCACAGGTTTTCATGGATTTTCCATGAAGTGCCTATACACGTTAATTTGGGTATCTCGCAAATCTACTGACCCCAAAACTCTGGAGAAAAAAACAAACAGGTTCTTGTACGTCAGAAACGTCATGCGCGAATGAGCTTCATTATTATTATCTCGTCACAATGAAATGGGAGTCTCATCCCCCCAACCCCCTACACTCACTATAGATACAGCAGCGTCTTGGGTGTAGTGGCTCACTCACAACACGGAGGGGAACAGACGGTCAAGAATCCTATTATTCTTGCTCAGGAACACCGTGAGAAGCCCCCCCACACTCTATCTATATAACCTGTAATATAACTTACTCTGTTATTAACCGGAACTCTTCTACCTAACATCACTACCCCAGGAACAACACGGGAACACCCACCTCCCCTGATCTCCCCCAATCACTGGCCGCCACCTACCAAGCACGTGCAGTGACTCCCCATGATCGGCCGGAGTGAGGGGGATGACGTGACTACGGTGGCCCTGAAGTGCAAAACATAACGACAAATAGGAACGCACAACAGCAAATAGGAGAACACAACGGCAAGTAAAAACGCACAACAGCAAATAGGAAAACACAACGACATTAACTTCTTACAGAAAGGGTAGGGCCTTATAGCAGGAAGCAGAGGACGGACCCTTCTCATTGGACAGACTGGAGCACCTAACATATCAACTTGTGGTAAAATGGGCATACAATGGGTCCTTTAACCAGCAATTGGCTAAAATGCTTCTTAGACGCGCCTTCTCCGCAGCTAAAACATGCATGAAGATGTGCCTATGACATGCAGGGGCATGCAGGAAAAGCATATATTTGCGCAGATATTATATTTTACAAATATTATATTCCGTATATCCAAAACACAAATATTTACATTTTTTATCATTTAATATGATCTTTTACTTTTTTTCTTCTTTATTGGGGGCTCAAGAAGGGTAACTCCAGGTCGCACGACGCCCCCATGCCCTCTATTGGCCAGCTGCCACTGGTCACCTTACTACTGCTGTTATGATAAACCAATGTTACTGGCATTGCATCTTTCCTGAAGTCTGTACTTTCCCTCCCCAGAAGCTTATGTGGATGATGGTGCTTATAACTGATGGTGGTTATATTTGATTGTGGTTACATCTGATAGTGGTTGTATTTGATGGTCGTTATATCTGATGGTCGTTATAGCTGACTGTCGTTATAACTGACGGTGGTTACATCTGATGGTGTTTACATCTGATGGTGGTTTTATAGGATGGTGGTTACATCTGATGGTGGTTATGTTTGATAGTGGTTATAGCTGATCGTTGTTATATCTTATGTGGTTATAGTTGATGATCGGTATTTACCGATGGTGGTTATATGTGATGGCAAATAACAATACGGAAGATGAGGTATCTCTTATGATCTGTTATTTTAAACATTGAAATGTCCTATTATATATAGTCTTTTCTCTCCTGATTGAACTAATGCCTCACTTTGAGGTTTGAGTTAGGTCTAGTTGTAGTGGGTTAGGGTTTGCTCAAGTTATAGTGGAACAGGTTTAGGGGTAGTCTGTTGGACAAATACTTACTTTAGTTGAAAACTAAAGAGATTTTCTTGTTAACATGATCTTACATGATGACTTTGTTATGGTCCACTGATTGCGTGCGTGACTCTGGGTGTTTGTGTGTGTGTGTGTGTGTGTGTGTGTGTGTGTGTGTGTGTGTGTGTGTGTGTGTGTGTGTGTGTGTGTGTGTGTCTGTTATAGAGAGATATGAGATGAAGTAAATATGACAGGCAGAGAATCCAGCTCAGGCTTCAGAGCAAGTAATGTCAAGCAATAATGAGCACTGACCTGTGAGCATCATGTCTATGAAGTCCAACAGTTAAACACGCATTTGCTCTGATGTCACATGATGATGTCACTTTCCTTTTTTAACAAGAAGATGCTCTTCACTTGATCAATAACTGATAACATAGTTGATTGATCAGCCTCCTACAGATTTAGCTTAATAAAGTATTCCCGTGGTCCTCTGTGGAAGCTCCTGCTCTAGTCCTGTCTCACATGTTGCCATAATGACTCTAGTAGGTGAAAACTATAATGATATTTCTGGGTTTGCTGCTGTTTTCTGGTGTTTCTAATTGTACCACAAATAAGGGGTAGTTCTTGAGGTTCAATATGGATTAAACCAACAACCTCCCATGAGAATCAGATTTAAATGTCCTTCTCTTCCTCACACAGCTTTATCAGGACTCCTCCCTCTGATCACTTCCTCTCAGTTTAAGATCACAGTTGCTTGCTCATCCTTGGCCTGCTCCCTGGTCTCCTACTTCATCTGGTATCCTCCCCTCCTCCACTCCTCTTCTTCCTCTTCTTGTCTCGTCTCTGATCAGATCTCTCCATGATGTCTGAGAGGAGGTGTTCTGAGGACGACGACCGCTCCTCTCTCATCTCCCGGCTGGGTTCTGACTCTCCTCGTCCTCGGATGAAGTATGGGGGGATGTTCTGTAGCGTCGAAGGAGCTTTTGAGAACAAAACTCTGAACTTTGAGTCGTTCAGTCCTCAGACGCAGCGTCGTCGAGCTGCTCGACCCCAACCGCAGAGTCCTCATGGGGGAGGGAGAGTGTTGTTTCCCCCCGGACACACCTGGGAGAACCACGGCAAGAGAGAGGTTAGCCAAAACTGTGTCTTTACTATTAATATTGTCATTTACTTGAGGTATTTATGCTTGTATTGCTCTGAGCACTAAGCATTATGACTAGAATTTTCTAATACATTTTTTTTTATTTTTATATTTGCATTGTCATATTTATACTTTTATACAATTAATCCCAACCATTGTATGTATTTTAGCTTTTTAATTGGTGTATCAGTGTATGTATTTTAATAAGATAAAAAATATTTCACGTGATAACATAAAATAAAGATTATGCTCGTCTGCGGAACTTTATTTTGAAGCCCTGAGCCGGAATCCGGGTGGGTATTGCTGGGAACCTGACGTCATTAGCAAAAGCAACAAAAGCAGGCTCAGAGTGTGTGCTGTGTGTGAGCGAATCTATCAGCCGATTGCATATCAATCAGGATGGCGTTCCAGAACAAGAAGAGCAGCGTCAGAACCGCGGTAGGTCCAACCTTAGCCAAACAGACCCAAACCTAACCGAGTCGAACAAAGCCAACCGGGAGTACAGATGGAACAGGGCCGGTTAGCGAGGATGCTGCAGCTCCGCCTGTCAATCATCGACCCGTGAGGACCAGACCGAGACTGACTGGGAGGCTGACCGGGATTTAACTGTGGATCCTATGTGATTTATATGAATATATTTAATTTGATAATCTTAACTGAAACTGATGCTAAAAACGGATAATCCTTCATGAAAAAAATATTTTACTCATCCTAAAATAGGGCATTTTAGAATCCATCCATTGTCAAACCGCTTATCCTGCACACAGCTTCGCAGGGGGGCTGGAGTCAATCCCAGCCAACTTCGGGCGAGAGATGGGTACACCTTGAATTGGTCGCCAGCCAATCGCAGGGCTAACACAGGGACAAACAACCATTCAGACTCACGTCCACACACCTACGGGCTATTTAGAGTCACCAATCACCCTGATCCCCACAGCATGTCTCTGGACTGTGGGAGGAAGCCGGAGTACCCGGAGAGAACCCACGCAGACACGGGGAGAACATGCAGACTCCAGAAAGTCAAAGTTCTTGCTGTGAGGCGACAGTGCTAACCACCACACCACCGTGCCGCCCCATATATATTGATCCGTATTTATAAATTTGAGAATTATCATTTCATATATAATCAAGCACATCAACACAAGCGTGTTCAATAGATATGTTTGACTTGACTTACTGTGTGTTGTATTCATCTTCTCCTGTTTTACCCATAGTTCCTTCTGCATGTTTCTAGGGTGACCGTCTGATAATCAAAGGAGGAAAGATAGTCAATGACGACCAATCGTTCTACGCTGACGTCTATGTGGAAGACGGGACCATCAAGTAAATATATACAGATTATTTTTGATTATTGTGCCACTGGTAATTTGTGGGTAGACCTCCAGGTGATTTGTGGTGAGACCGTCAGTGGTTTTGTGGGTCGATATCCAAGTGATCTTTGGGTAGATCTCCAAGTGATCTTTGGGTAGATCTCCAGGCCCCTCCCACCGTCTACATCCTCACGCTTTCTTCTCTTGGTCTTGACCAGACAGATTGGGGAGAACCTGATCATCCCATCCTGCGTGAAGACGGTGGATGCGTACGGTCAGCTGGTGATCCCCGGGGGAGTCGATGCCAACACCAACCTTCACGCCCCACAGAGAGGCATGAACCCCACAGACGACTTCTACCAGGGAACCAGAGCCGCCCTTTCGGGAGGAACCACCACCATCAGTTAGAACATCACTTATTACCCATCAATACTGTAATAATCTCGCCTCAGGCACATGGAGGAGGTACCAGGGCTGATAGTTGTGTTCACAGTGGACCATGTGCTGGTGGAGCCGGGGGCGAGTTTACTGACAGCGTTCGATCAGTGGAGGGAGGCAGCGGAGGAGAAGTCATGCTGCGACTTCTCTCTACACCTGGACATCACTCGCTGGCATGAAGGACTGTGTGAAGAGCTGGAGATACTCATCAAAGATCAAGGTCTGAAGAACCAATTCTTGGCTTTTCAGTCTATCACTTCCGTCTTTGTGTGTATACATTTGAGGAAAACTGTGATACAGCATTCAATTAAGGAACTGTGACCAGATAAAATTGCTAATACTAAATAACGCAATAATGTCATCAGTAAACTAGAGTTCAATCATAAAATAGCAACATTTATACAATTCTTAGAGGATTCAACTTTCAGATCTGAAGATACTAAGAACCCTAAAAATACTAAAAACCCTGAAGACTCAAGGTACTACAGATATCAAAGACACTAACGATACTCCCAAGAACCCTGAAGACACTAAAGATAGTGACGACACTGTGTGAACTTTGTATTACCTGTAATATTTGTGTTTTAGGTGTGAACTCCTTCCTCTTCTTTATGGCTTACAAAGACAAGTACCAGAGCTCCGACTCTCAGGTCATCTACAATTTTTATTGTTTTTTCGTTATTTGTGTTTTTTTTGTTGTTGTTGCTGTGCAGTGATTAGTTATGGTTAGTTTATTTCTTATTTCTTTATTTGACTGAATCTGCATCCTGTTTTTGGGTGTCAGCTCTATGAGGCGTTTGGGGTCCTCCGGGATCTTGGGGCCATCGCCCAGATCCACGCAGAGAATGGTGACATCATTGACGAGGTAATACACCTGAATAAAGCAAAGTACAATACATTAAAATCAACTAACTTAGTGGAAAAAAACTGTAAATGTAAACTGGTTTCTTTCAGGAACAGAAGAAACTTCTCTTTCTCGGCATCACCGGACCTGAAGGACACATTTTGTCACACCCTGAGGAGGTACACAAACTTGTAACACACCTGTCATTACACCTGTTAAACATTTGCATGTAATTCTGTAATACTGCCAGTAAAAACCGAGTGCCACTAAGACGTGTCTATTACTGATGATATGTGTGTATTTTTGTGTGGGTTGTTATGCTGTGGTTCAGGTGGAGACTGAAGCTGTTTATCGAGCTGTAACCATTGCCAAACAGACCAACTGTCCGCTATATGTTACCAAGGTGATGAGCAAGTCTGCTGCTGAGGTCATCGCCAAAGCCAGGAAGAAAGGTGAGGTCTTCATCTGTTGTTTATAAGAACCGTTTTTCCCTTTTTTGGTTTTCATTGGTACACTGATCTGCTCCACCACTGGCACCGGTACTGTCTCACAAAACCAAAGACAGTCCAAAAATTCCCAAAAGCTTCAGCAATCAGCAACTCAAGCAAATTGCCCAGAACTGCATTTTCAGTCATGGTCCACAGTTTTCCACGTTGCTGAAAAGAATAAATAGAAGTTGAATTCCTTCTTCTTCCTGCTAAGTCATGCCACGATTCGTCAGAACCACTTTGAGAATTACTGATGGTTCTCTATGAGTTTTTCTATAGTGACCACAGAAGCTGAAGACTTTCTGACATCTTGATGCTTCAGGAGTCACTGTGATTCACATGAGAGAACTGCATCCCCAGATGACATCCCTCACTGCTCTGGGGCTCCAGTATCATCTTTGATTTCTTTACTTGTTGTTTTTGGAGTTAAACCCCACATTATTGGACTATGAAATAAACCACATCTGCGTTTTCGTATCTGCATGACAGGCTGTTGGGTTTTCATCCACCTGACTGGATACTTGGTGACTGATTGAGCAGGTGGCTAAGGAATCTCTCCTGTAACTACTATGTGACCTCAGGGTCACAGTGGCACCAAAAACCCTTCACTAACATAAGTTTGGCTTTGTTGAAATGGATTTCATAAATAAATATATATAAAAAATATATATCTTAATGTTTTTGTCCTTAGGTATCGTGGTGTACGGGGAGCCAATCACTGCCAGCCTGGCCACTGACGGTTCTCACTATTGGTCAAAAGACTGGCCTACAGCTGCTGCCTTTGTCATGAGCCCACCTCTCAACCGGGATCCTTCAACTCCACAGTACCTGACATCCCTGTTAGCATGGTTAGTACTCATCTACCTCTTTGTTAACATGGTTAGTACAGCTGTACCTCTCTGTTAGCATGGGTAGTACAACTCTATCTCTCTTTTAGCATGGTTATTACGACCATACTTGTCTTTTAGCATGGTCTGCTCTTCTCTGTCATCGTGGGTTAGTGATCAATGTAGCCATAACCTAAATTTCAGCATGAGTGTGTGTTTTCTTTCATCCAGTGGAGACCTCCAGGTGACGTCCAGCGCTCATGCCAGCTTCTCCACAGCTCAGAAAGCAGTCGGTAAAGATGACTTCACTCTGATCCCAGAGGGAACCAACGGAATTGAGGAGAGGATGTCTGTGGTGTGGGATAGAGCTGTGGTAAGATTGAGTCAAGCATGAACATTTAGACATGTTCCATCAAATATACCTTTTTCATATCTGAATCAAGGCTCTAAGGTTAGAGGGTGTTGTATTATACTGTATAAATGTAAATTCTAAACTACTATAAAGTTTATATTTCAAAGGTATTGCGGAAACTTTATGGAGTACGAATGTGCAACTCTTTTGTCATTTTTTTTCTCGGCAGTCCACAGGAAAGATGGATGAGAACGAGTTTGTTGCAGTAACAAGCACCAATGCTGCTAAACTCTTCAACATTTACCCACGCAAAGGTACGACATAAGTCAGATGATGTTACACTGGAGTAAATAAAACCTAAAACAATAAAACATTTACTATTGAAACATTTACTTATGGTTTAGTTATTGTTGTATGAGATGGAATAAACTATGACATTAATATAAAAATAATGCTTCAAATTGTACTGTATTTAAAAGAGTATTCAGACATCTGTAAAGCATTAGAGGGGTGTATCTGTCCCGCATTCAGGAAGGATTGCAGTAGGATCGGATGCTGACATTGTAATTTGGAATCCGAAGGAGACACGAACTGTTTCTGCAAAGACTCACAACCTGGTAACAACACTTCAACCTTCATCACGAAGCATCAAAATTCCTTGTCATACGTCTTGAACTGTCCGTCATCCTTCACACCATGCTGCCGTTTTGTGTGCAGATGGTGGAGGTAAACATCCTGGAGGGTTTGGAGTTTCGAGGTGTGGCGTCGGTGGTGATCAGCGGCGGTCGAGTTGTTCTTGAAGACGGGAAACTCAACGTGACCAAAGGTTCAGGGCGCTTCATTTCCAGAAAGGCTTTCCCAGACACTGTCTACAAAAGGATTAGAGCCCGCAGCAAGGTACCTAAATTGCTGCCGGTGACAAGTAAACTACCTTTCCTACTTGATAACCAGTTTAGTTAACCAGCTAGTGGTTAACCAGTTAGATAGTTAACTAAGTGACTACTGGTTAATCTCTCTGGCAGATGATCACTGCTTATAGCATGGTTACCAACCAACTTGCAGATGAAAGTGGCTCAGACTTTGATACAGGATCACAGTCTTTAGCCTGGTAATCAGTGAATTAACTGTCAGATCAACATGTTGTGTACAGGTAGAGGCCAAAAAGCAAAAGCAAACTACTAAAGTCTGTATAGTCTGTTAATTCATTAAACTAGTAGATGTTTGATGGACTGAATTTAATAACTGACCGATCAGTCCATTAGGAATCAGTTTTTCCCAAAACTTGTGTATCTCAGATGGCTGAGGCTCGCGGAGTCCCCCGTGGAAACTACGACGGTCCGGTTCATGATGTCATCAGCGTGCCCAAATTGGTCCCACCCACTCCGACCACCAGGGGGCCCACTTGTCCAAAAACCCAGGCCAGTCTCCGAAACCTCCACCAATCAGGATTCACCCTGGCAGGTAGCGTTCACGAACGCTGGGAGCGCACATGTATCTCTAGTATTCTCATCTGAATTATAGATGATTGAGTAGTATTCCGCGTAAACAGCTCAGAACACATACATTTTACATCCGAGTGCTGCAGTTAAAAATTAAAAATAAGAAGTGTTTCATAACAGTTAAAAGGGTAAACCCAGCCCTTTCTCCGTTGATAAAATTACCCTCCTTCTCTCTTGATTTATCCCCTCAGTAAACATGAGTTTATGGTCTATCTCTACTTTCAAGTCTTAAATACAGAATGTACTGTTACACTGTGTTGCATCATTATTTTAACACAAACCATGATCTTTTTTTTAACTATAACAAACGTTTCTAACAATTGATTCTGATTCTCACCAGCTGTGTCTCAATTGCCTTGGCTGCATCCTTGTAGGACCCAGCCTTCGCGGTAGACCAGTGATTTAGATCATCTTTGTCTGTGCAGGAAACCAGGTTGATGATCACATACCTCGTCGCTCTGCTCAGAAGATCGTGGCGCCGCCTGGTGGTCGATCCAACATTACATCCTTATCTTAAAAGTGTAGAAACAAGCTGTCACGTTGAGTTTGTCCAACACAGCACTGCAGTTTCACCTTCACTACTTGATACAGCCCAACCTTTACAGTTCCTGCAACAGCAGTGCTAAGCCCTCCAACAACGTTACAGTGACCATAATACAACACTGAAAAAAGTGCTAGCAAATAAGTGCTCCAAATTTAAATCCCAAAACTAATACTAAATCATGAAATAATGGTTGTTCAAAATCCACAATCACTGCAATAAGGGTCCTACAACACTGAAATACTATGAAGTATGATAATATTAAACTTGATAAACTAATGAATAAATGACTTCATAAATCATTCACTAACTGTACTTCAATAGAAGTCAGGTAATTACTATTACAATTATTGTACTACAACCCAACATCTCCTACTACTACAATCCTACAACAATGGTACTTCAACCAGACCTCAATGTAACTGGTCTTAGAATCAGTCATTTGAAGTCTGTTAACAGTGACTAATGTATTTCACATCATTTCATTTCATCTGTCCTAAAAATCGTCACTTCATTATCTTCTCTTTGTATCTTATTGTTGTCTGATGAAGGCACATCTGGTAGTAGTAGTACTATGAACTATGAAAAGTATTTTCTGGGTTGGGAAAATAGTGTTTCCTTTAGGTCTTTCATTAACAGATGTGATTATTTCACTTGACTATTGACTGGATAGATTTCCAGTACAGTATTTTTTGTTAGAACTCTGTGACTTGTTTCTCGCTGGTGTTTTTATTATTCACAGCTGACTTCATCTAGAAACGTCTTCCATTCTTTCCATAAACTATTTAATAATAATTTAATATTTATGATTCTGTTTTGGTCTGTGTAGCCGTGATAGCGGTACCCAGCGGTATCTTGGACAAATGCGTCGAGCTTGCCGGATCACAATTGTTTTATTGGTTTGCGCAGCAGTTTTTTCGGTCCTCTCGTTCGCCCCGAGCGTCCGGTCAAGAGTCCTTCTCCGAGTCAGCAGCAGATGATCAGTGTTCATCAGCTGCGCTCATTAACTATCTCCCGGCACCATTCCCCCTTGTTCTCCCACTCTGCAGCTGAGCTAACCACACCGCGCCATGCACATTTTAGTCCTGATGATAGCGAGTCCGTTTTATTCTGGACTGACTGAGTGTGACGCAGCTTTGGTTTAGAATGGACTTCTATAGCACGCCCCCTACCGGATGGAAACTAAACAACTCACCCAGAAATATCTGAAACAGACTTAACATCCCCAGAAATTCAAAGAACAAATTCAAAGATAAACACTTTATCTGTGGCATCCTTTAAGAACTGAATTACAATATGCCATCTACTGCTTTCTCCTGTTGGCCCCGCCCACACATAAACGGAGGAAACGGAGGAACTTCATACACTTCGGCCATACTAGAAAAATAAAGTCTGAAGCATGGCGCAAATATTCAGATTTTTAAGCTCAACTTTTTCTTGAAAGCACAGTAGTATCTTGTAAACACTTGGGCTTACCAATTCATAAACTATTTGTACCAATCCATAGACTTAGTTTACCAATCCCTCTGCTCGGTTTACCGATGTATGCGCTTTGTTTCCTATGTCTGTACAGGGCATCCTGGGATGTCACAGCTGCAGAAAACCACTCTGTTTTTACTGTATAACCTATATGTAATTTTTAACTCTGTGTTCTAAATTGTAAAGCCTTTATTTGATACCATGATCATTTTGTATTTTTTTAAAGTTTTTCTATCTTGGCAGTTTTAGCATCAGTAATTGTAGTGTTCAGAAAGACGTCAGACACGTTGGTGCCAAGTTGTTGCTGTAGTTATATATTGGATCCAACATAGCATCCTTATTTAACTACAGTACAGACTCAGTTTCAAATCAAGGAGTGATGTGCATTTGTTGTTGTTTTTGATGTTGTTATTGTTCCTGTGAAGAAAATAGAACTACTAAGTGAGATGTGCATGAATAAACTGTGAATTGAAACCCTGCAGAGTAAAATGTTGGTTTTTGTACATCACTGATGTTTTGCAGGTTTAATGTAGACAATGTTTACCATCCAATGTCAGCGTGTTGTTAAGTATTGGTGAACACGGATGAATGTCATCAAGGACCCGTCACTCGTACGTGGTTACTACTTGTCTAGCCCTTGCAGCAACAGTTCGATTTTGCCAAGACTATTCAATTCAATTCAATTCCATTCTATGAATTGTATTATGTATAGCCCAAATTAGCCCCAGAGGGCTTTACAGTCTGTACACTTGCGACATGCTGTGTACAGACCAAAACCCTCACATCGGCACAGGAAAAACCCTTCGACGGGGAGAAAAAAGGGAAGAAACCTTAGGGAGAACGTTGGAGGAGGATCCTTCTCCCGGAATGGACGAACTGCAATGGACGCCATGTTGTACAGAATGAACAACATAAAAGATGTACAATAGGTTCAATTCCTACGACAGTCAAATACACATATTATGCTTTTGAATTACTCATGCATTCTTGATCAGCTCCTGCTCATCTTCCTTTAACTTTATTTGCTCTGTTGAACGGGTTGTGCTGGTTTGTTTTGTCACCACGATATTAATGCAATGATGCCGCTCGATAAGTCTGACAATCACCAGAGGAAAATACACTTCATCCTGATAGAACTATAAGATACCTACATTTCGATATAATCCATCTAATAGTTGTTAAGATATTTAAGTGAACAACACCAGCGTAGGTTTCATGGTAGGATTTAAAAATGTGATACATATTGGATGTTGATATATTTCAGTGGTGTGTGTTTTATCATAAATGATGTGTTCAGATTATACAAGTATAGATATATTCTATCACCAACAATACTAACTAACCTGACTTTAAATAGAAAGAGTGTGATTTTAAAAAGGAAAGGTAAAGCATTTTATTAGATCGTCTGAGCTCAAAGACAAACGTAAGTACACTGTACTAATTAATTTGTGTTGTCATTTTTATTGATATTATTTGTTATTTACGCGACCCTGTGTGCAGGATAAGCGGTTTGACGATGGATGGATGGATGAATTTGTTATTTATTCATTCAACAGACCACTGATGGGGCAGCCGCACCGATGACATCATCACCAATAGGAGGAGCAAGTGACGTCACGGAGTCGCGGACCCAGGTTCCTCCTGTTATGCAGCTGATGAGCTGCGACCTGCGTGAGTTTAAAGTCTTGATTCCCCCGTTCGTTGGTCGGTGGATCGATGGATGCACTGGTCCATTGATAGACTGATCATCTCAGCTGTGCGCTAACGGATCGTGCATGTATTTTTTTTAATCTCGAACCGCTGCGTTCTTGCCGAGAGCCGCACGTGCAGTGATTACTCTGTAATTAAGATTTCTGTTTGACGTCAATACGTTTGGTGTTGGAGGCTATAAAGTGCTCTTGTGATTAATGACCCTGGGCATATTTTACACGTTTTTGTTTGAGGGACATTCAATGCAGAGCTTGTTTTCGTTCTTTATTTTTTTACTTTTTTTGCCCCATTCATGCGCGTGGTGTGACGTCACCTACAAGGTTCCACCCGAGTACTTTTCATGCAACCTCTAACAGTTAAAATACCATATATATATATATATATATATATATATATATATAAATCTGTAATGTTGATTCTAAATAATTTGTCCCGACTGGTTGACTGGGAATTAAATTACATTTATTTTTTAAATAAATATTCATTGTGAATTTGCAGGAACTCTGGGGAGAGGAGTCAGAGGTGAGAATGATGGAAGACTCTCGGCACATGGTAGAGGAGGTGTTGGCTCTTTGTCTTCAGAGGATCACTGTGGAGGAAACCAACATGAACACTGAGCGCGGTGAGACATCATCTCTGATTCAGGGACAGTTTACAGGTTATTTACTGCCAATCAACAGTGAACTTCAGATTCCTCTCGGTCCATGATGAAGTTCTTTTAGGCCTCTGAGATGTCTTCTTGTTTTCTTACTTCTGGCATAAGGCCTCTTCATGGGATTAGTTTCTGTGGAGATTCTGAGGGGACAACATGGGGCCAAAGGTGTCTGGCTCTGTGTCCATGGGCAAGATCCCCCCCAACATGCTCTTGTAGCTGACTTTGGTGTGTGAGTGTTAGCTGCTGGTGGGCAAGTGACTAAGTGTGTGGTAGCTCCTGCCATCAGTTTGTGAATGGGTGATAATGATGTTTCCATTCATTGTCCCAGCCCCTCACTCTCCAGATTGTTTCTGTTCACTACAAACACGCACTTCTTTCAGAGTTCATACAAGTGGTGAAGAACGTGGAGGCTGTGAGGAAGCGATGGCTTTATGCCGAGATGGAACTGAAGAAATACAAAGAGCTGCTAGTTAAGTCGGACGTCGCCAAAGCTGCTCTGGAAGTCAAACTGAAACACGCTCGAAACCAGCTAGACGTGGAGATGAGGAAACGCTACAAGATGGAAGGAGACTATCACTACCTGGTGAGTCCCATCACAATTTCACACATGTTAGTGACACCTCCCATGGAGGACCAACTCTTTAGATTCATATTTATAAATTAACATAACATTAGGATGTGTTTCCTCCGGTCAGAATCTTCTTAATGGAGAATTAAGAATTAATGGAGAGTTTACAAAGACTTTTGGTCTTCCTTTGTACTCTTATAACACATGTTATTGCAGCAGTTTTACGGCTCCTCCTCTTTCATCTTGACCAGTCAATGAAAGAGGACCATATGCAACATTTTTGCACTGTCCTCAGGCGCGTGTTAATCGTTGTTCATGTTGTTCATCTCTGTAATTGTTCACCCAAACCCAGGGCCCGCTATCCATGCTCCCACCGTCTCTAATCTGTTCAATGATTTTTGTGATTGTAAATCCCTGGGCTTTCTACATGTCAATATCTGTAGTTTGTTTCCAAACATAAAATCTTGGGTGCACATTGCAAACCCTGATGTTCTGGCTATCTCTAAAACATGGCTTAAGAAAGGTGTTTCGGTTCTAGAAATCCGAATTCCGGGCTACAATGTCTTCCGTCAGGATAGAGCCACCAAAGGTGGCAGCGTGGCTATATTTGTAAAAGACCATTTGCAATGTTTTATGCTGTATAAAGTCCCAAAGCAATTTGAACTGTTACTGTTAAAACTGTCAACAAATTTCACTCTGTCTGTTGCAGTTTGCTGTAGACCACCCTCTGCTCCAGCATGCACATTAAGAGCGCTCGGTGAACTGTTGGCCCCTCACAATACTGCCACACTGATCGGTATTCTCACTAACACTCAATCAAACTACCGATCTGGAGTCAAGATTTGAGTGATTACGGTGCCATTGCATGCGTTCGCTCCTTACTTGCTGACCAGCCCTCACTTCTCTCTTCCATACTTCCTGCCTTTATTTTGTACATAGTGTTTATTAATTTAACTATGTTTTTAGCCATGTGTTTGTCATACTGTATTGTGTCTGTGCTGTTCGTGTCACTTGTGTGGACTGTGCTACTACCTCTTGGCCAGGTCCTCCTTGTAAATGAGAATTGGTTCTCTATGGATTTTACATGGTTAAATAAATTAAAAGAATGCAGCCTGCGAAAGGCGCTGATAGCACCTTCTTCTCGTCTGATTTGCAGCAGAGGCAGATGCAACTCATGTGTGACATCCTGGTCCACGACAGCAGATCCAGTGCCTGTCTGAATGCTGAGCAGAAATCTCTTTGGGCCACATTTGAACACAAAGGAGGAAATGTGACTCTGCACCGACGCAGCAAACGGTAGAGAAACGCTCTGTTTGTAGACTTGTCCCACCTGTTCTTCCTCCTCCTCATCCACTCTTCACAGATCAGACCCATTAAGGTTCCTATCCCGCTGCTCTTCTTGCTTTTGGGTTTCCGTCACTCTTGATTGTATTAACTCTTCTGCTCTGACCTCCACAGTTAAATCCTGACGTTCCTCTACAGTCTGCTCAATCCTGGTGACTATCACAGTGGTTTTGAGACCAAATAATTGTGTATATGGAAATCTCTGAGGTGAAGCTCATTAGGCCTCTAATGTTGGTCTTCAGCTCTCAGTAGGTTGCTGCTTCCAGGAAGCCTTGGTCACTGGTGCGGGCTTCGGTCTCACATGGTGGCTAAGCCCTTCTGGTTGGATGAGTTTACAGTGCTGCTTGCGTGCAGGTCCTGTGTTAGTTTCAATTCTTTGTAGTCATTCCTTTGGAAAGATATACTTTGTTGTGATGGCCTCTACTATCGATACTGTGGATATTATAAAAGAGGAGATGTTCCTATCCTGGAGTTGTGCTTAATTCCCCATGACAATGTGGACAAACATGTGGATCCCTGTAATACTTTCTTACATTTCAAATCAAGATTACAGTGGCTCTGAAGTGCAAAACACGACAGCAAACAGGAAAGCATGACACTGCTCGGGGACCGGAGTCAGATTCCTTGGCGTGAGGAATTGGATGTGTGGCGGGAGTGCGTGACACTTGAGAGCCCTGGTATCATTTCCTGTTAAAAGACAGGCACTCAGTCTGTCCAATCAGAAGGGTCCGTCCTCTGCTATAAGGCCCTACCCTTTCCGTAAGAAGTTAATTTCGTTGTGTTTTTCTATTTGCCGTTGTGTTTTGCACTTCAGAGCCACCGTACAAGATCCTTGTGTGTGAGTAATACATATTCTACCAGAAGCTTATAAAGTAGTTGTGACTGATGGTGGACACATAAACCTTCTCCAAGTAGCTCTCAGTGGTTGTTTGAAAAGAACATCAGATGTAGTCTGTTTCCATCCCAATTAATTAAAGAAATAAAAACACTTCCAACCTGGACTAAGAAACTGTGACGAGTACTCCGGTAACATGACAAGTTTAAGCATTTCCGAAGTTTGAGGGAATCAATTTCAAAAGGTCTTATCTGGTGCTCGTTCAATATGAAAAATGTTTCAAGGATATTTTTGGAAAAGTTCCGGGTGTTAATTCAGGGGATTGTGGAGTTTAGTAGCTTAGTTGAGATCCACGATTTAATATAGGTTTCTTCTTTTTTTTTCATTCAGGTTGTGTGTGATTGATGAGTCATCTTTCCTATCCCACTCGGACATCAGCTACGACAGGACTGATGATGACGTGGTACGATCGATCAATCAATTGAAACCTATCCTTGCAAAATCATAGCACGTTTTTTAATTTGGTTTCTATTCTCCAGCTGCCTGTTAAAATATACTTGCTAAAAGTGATTAATTTAGACATTATGTCTAGGTCAATTTAAAATGCACTACATTAACTCCAGGTAGTCTTTCATGGTTTTACATTGATAGTAGATCAAACACCCTGAGACTTGATAATTTAAAAAGTATATTCAAAATTGTGTTTTGCATTCAAAATCAGCTTGATGTGGTATTAGTTCATGTTTATTAGGATGTGGACACAACTACTACTATCAAACCCCTGAGATCCCGAGCCAGAGAGAGGAGGGTAAGTGTTCCACAGATGTTCTCTGAGCTAAGCGGTCCTCGGTTCTGACGTTCCATTGGTTCTCTGCAGCGCTCCTCCATGGGACTGACCGTCACCGCTCCATCTGGGAGAGGAAAAAGCGGAAATGTTTCTGCAGAGCTGCTGGAGATGAAACCTATAGAGGTGAAGAGCTTATGAAAACGTGTTGGAGGAGGTACTCCGATCCTTTCACTCTCACTTCTTATTTACTTGAAAACCAATTAATGTAAATGCAAGACATGGAAGAGACCACTAAAGAAAACAATTGTTTTTTAAACCGCTTAGAATGAGCCAATGTTCGTGTGTCAGCTTTCATCCATTCATTGGCTTCCCTATATTTGGGGAAGAGGCCGTTCTAGACATCTTTAAATGAGTCCTGCGGGAACCAGACCAGATGTACAATCTCTCCAGCGTAGTCTGGCGCCACCGGGGGGTATTTTATTCGTATTATGGAAGACAAACGACACTTTCATAGTCTTCAGGCTTGTACCCACGACCACGGTACCCTGTATTTCCACAAGAATCCCTTTGGGACATGGTCAAAGACCTTCAACGGGATCGGCAAACTCCTCCAAAAGACCTGCCAGGATCCAGCGCTGGTCCACCGGTCCAGGAAATAACCCACATTGTTCCCCCTTCCCTGATTGCTCACAGGACTGATGTGAGAAAGAATAATTTTCTTACTCCACACCCATTTAGCAGAGAAATGGGGCCTCAAACGGCTCCTCTTTCTGATCTCTTTACTTTTCGACAAGTGGGAGACTAAAGCTTACTTTGTAACTCAGGAGGTCAACACGTTGATGAAGGAGCTGCTTAAGACTCCCGAGACTGGCAATAACATCGCCATGAGGACTGGAATCCCACGAGAGAACCCTGAGAACCTGGTCTATTCCGTGGAGTGTGCCAGCTCAGCCACAGGAGGTGATTGTAGCGGTCGGATTGGTCCTTGTGCTCGGTCTTTGGGGTATAGATCAGTTTATAACTGGAAGGACTCTCCATTTGATGTTGCTCCTGTTTTTTTCCAGTTGAGTAACTGCTGCTTTTTGGGGGTTTTTTCTATTGACCACGCTGACTTTGTCATTCTTTCATTAGAAATCAATCCATTTTTTTATAGTTTGCACTAAATATTAGTTTGCATCAGAAGCTGCAATAGCAGTCCAAATAATGGCACAAGTTTTTTTTTTTTTAGTTAATTTAGCAACTATATAGGTACCTTTTTTTTGATAAAATCCCACATGTAAATATTCACATTTTTATGCTGCAGTAGATTCATCATCCCAAAAGATCCTTCACCATATTTAGAGCCTGTGCTACGTTCTTGCATGGATACTGTAACTATTTTATGAATAATTCAATTTACTAGTACTATTGTATATAAATATTTGCTCCTATCCAAGGTGCTCATTCAAGTCTGGTGAGTTGGTATCACAAAACCTTTGACTGATTGGTATTGTAACGTGTGTTTGTCAGACCAAACCTCTGTCTGGTTTCCCTGTGATGAGACCACGCTGGAACCTGAAGGTGAAGCAAAGCTGGAGAGATGTGCTGTTAGAGCATTGTCCGCCTGCAGAGAGGAGAAAACCACAGCCCATGTCTTCCTTTCTAAAACTGTATGAACACACACACACACACACACACACACACACACTGGTTCATGTGTGACCCTTCTTTAATAATTTGGATATCAGTTCCAGACATTTAATTTGACCAAAGGATAGATCACAGCTAACGACGGTCCAGTTTTCTACCTAAAGTTTCCATGGATTTAAAAGTCAAATGTGAATATGAATCCGGAATGTCTGCTTCTTCAATAGTATTTGTGACCTGAAAGTCTTTTGTGTAGCATTTACTAATTTTGTTAAGTGACCATTGAAGAGCATAATATGAAGAGCATAATATGAAGAGCAGATGAGTGGGATGAACTCTAGGAATATGTAATTTATTTCTAAAGTTGATTTCCGAGGTTACAGCTGCCGAGAGGGTCGACGCTCATGCTTCTCTCTCCAGGTGATCCGGCCCGAGATGTGCCTGCCCTGTGGGAAAAGACTACGCTTTGGAAAGATGGCAGTGAAGTGCAGGAACTGCCGCACTATCGCTCATCCAGAGTGCAAACTGAAGTTGAGTGACCGCTGCTCGGCCACAACCCTGACAGGAAGTTCAGCTCAGCAGGTACCTCTAATGAAATTAATATGCTCATAACCAAAGACTTGGTGATGTACACTGAGCTCCTCTTGCCTTGCACTCCTTTACTTCTCCTAAGTAATGCCACGGATAAGCTCTTGATTCTTCAGATGCCAATGATCTCACAAATTCATAAAATATGCCTTCTCACTGGAGAATAAGAGCTGCTATGGAGGCTAATGAAGGGAAGAAAAATGTCAATCATCTTCAGGTAGTTTCTGATGTACATCCTTACCGTTCATTGTAACCGCGCTGCTACAGGTTGTGTAACTCCTTGATGAACCAAATGGGCATCATTAGACTAAATCATACTTGTGGAGATGTTTCTTTTTCTCGTATCACAAGGAGAATCCCACCTCATCTGCTCAATGTTTTGAACAATGCCTTTACTGTGGTTTGGCAATATTAGGGTAGTTTTGACATGCGAAAGTGTCTCATTCATGCGATGGATTATTCTTATTTGCTGAAGCTCAATAAGCTGAACTTCTCATACTGGACTAACTTCACTAGCTCCACACTTGGCGACTTTTTTTCTATTCCTTCATCATATCAATTCATATGGCATGTATTTATCATTTTTAACTGGTTCTTTAACTGGCATATTTTATCAGATAATTTCTGATGTGTTTATACTGTATATACATTTTCTTAAATTGCAATGGCTTTATGTAAGATCATTTATATTATCCACACTTTATAAGAATGCTCAGCTTCCATTTTGCTCTTTTACTACCCACCAGGTTATGATTCTTTCATGTCCATTTGAAGAAAAGATGAATCCACTGACCATTCGAAGGCTTCAACCTTTTCGCTTATTGGTTCACAAACAAGATCATTTTTTGGTGCAGTTACATCAATCCACCTCCAACAATTTAGTTTCCTCCTATTTCACAATAAGAGACCAGAGTTCAAAAATGAGCAGGAGATTAAAGCAGAACATTCACAGAAACACACACAGCATATTGTGGCTTTTTTGTCCTCTTCAGAATTCGTTGGAGGATTTTGCCCCTGTCACCAACCCCCGAGTTCCTCTTCTGATTGTGGACTGTGTGACTGAGATTGAGAGAAGAGGCCTGGACGAGGTGAACTTGTCCTCAGTCAGTTTTCACATATACATTGTTCCCTCTGGTTCATCGGCACTTCAGCTTCTGATGGTCTGTGTGTAGAGAGGACTGTACAGAGTTCCTGGAGGAGAGCGTCTAGTGAAGGAACTCCGAGAACGATTCATCCAGAGGAAAACTCCGCTCATGCTCAATAAGGTCCATGACATTCACGTGCTGTGTGGCCTGCTGAAAGACTTCTTGAGGAAACTCGAGGAGCCTCTGATCCCCTTCAGACTGCACAAGACCTTCATGGAGGCTTCAGGTAGGAAGGTTGAAGCTGCTCACATAGTTGTATTGCAATTTAGCCTTGATCTATAGATAAAGAACTTGTCAATGTAGTTTACATTTCATTTTTCAGTTAGATGAGGCGTTCTTTCAAAGTGACCTGCGATGAGTGCATTTAACCAGGAGGGAACAAATCGTAACAACAAGAATAATTCAATTTCATTACGAAAGCCAAACTACAAAGTGCTATGATTAAGAGCCATCGTAATTCCTAATAAAGCTCTACCTAGTCCAGGTATAGTGGGTAGAGGTGCTACATAGTCTGGGTGTGGTTGGTAGAGGTGTGTTTTCATCAGCTGTCCCGACGTTATTGGGTAGTTGAATGAATTCAGTTTGAACTGGTCTCCTCTGGGAGCACCCGTGTGTGTGATGATCCAACGATTGCCGGGTGTCTGTGTTTTAGAGCTGGCTGATGAAGATAACAGCACTGCCATAATGTATCGGGCCATCTCAGAGCTGCCAGTGGTCAACCGACACACACTGGCGTTTCTCATGCTTCACTTGCAGAAGTAAGAGCTTTTTATCTGATGGAAAATCCCCCCCAAAAAAGTGTATGTATGTATACTGTATTTCTCTGCTGGGGGAGATACATTCCTTTATGTTAATTAAGCAGCACAGATGTAGAAAAGTGGCTACTGTTGTTATAGTGCCCTTTGTCACCGTTATTTAGGGTTATGAGGAGTCCTCTGTGTCAGATGGACAGGAATAACTTGTCCAGGGTGTTTGGACCAACTATTGTGGGACATGGGATGTCTGAGCCCACTTCCACAACCATCTTGAGAGACATAAACACTCAACCAAAGGTTTGCTTCTTCCTATATGTCTTATTTATAATATGTGGATATGGAAATAACGGGTATTTATCATTGAGGCATTTTTGACATCAGATAAACATTTTAATAACGTTATGGCAACAACTTGTACAATAAAGTCTGACAACCTGTCATTGGACCTTCACAAAAACAACAGCAAGAAATAGATTAATTTGCCAATTGTACAGACAAAATAATAAAATGTCATGTATAGTAAATACATATTGCAGAAAGTGTAAATATAATGAAAGCAAAAAATGCTATATTGATAAAAAAGACTTCTCATGAGCACAGTAACAGTTGATGTCAGCAGGAGACATGGACCAGATGTATACAAGACACTTTGAAACCTTCAGCCAGTGAAAGCACAGAATGCAAGGAATAAACTAAGTTAGTAATGTGCATTCAGTTGGACAGAAATTTGTAGAGAAGGTGAGAGTAAATGGAGAGGGACTCATTATATCCTAGTCCAGGGGCTGGTTCAAGGTAGCCCCGGCAGCCCCAAGTACCCTATCTAGCCATACACAAACCTGCAATCAATCTTAAATATATAACCGTAAGTGTTGTAGTACAAAGTCACCCAACTGATGAGTGACTAGTCTTACTTCCTGATCTTTGTTGTATTAATAGTGTCCGTCTTCGTTCTCAGTGTTGTATTTGGCCTGCTGCTGTTCCTCAGGTTGTTTGCCACATGTTGTCCCTCCCTGAAGCCTACTGGAGACGTATCCTCACTGTCCAGACCGATAAGATCTCCTCATCCACCACTAAAACCCACAGCATGGATGATGCAAATGGTGGGTATTTTTATTATAGCGCATGACACTCTGTTGATGGCTTTTATCACTGGTCTAATTGGCGTCTTTTGTCTCCTTACGTTTCCCCATTCCACTTTACCAGTACTAGTTATTTTAACCGCTGCAAAGTTCCTGTATGGTTAGACACTCATGAATCCATCTAATTTACAAATCGTGACATATGGTGTAACCATGCATGCAGTCACTCATCACTGCGAAGTCACTACACTGCTGTTCAGCTGGAGAGTGGTTGTTAGTATTGATGTAGTAGTAGTAATGTTAATATTGCTTTACTGTGTGTAACCATTAAAGGTAATGTTGCTCTTTTACCAGTTCGGTTGTTTGAGCCATTAACGTCTCCAGAGTTAAACGGCTACAACCAAATTCCCAGCAGAAAAACTCTGAGAGGCAGAACAAGGAACCCTGGCAACATCCCAACCACCATGTAAGACCACAACAGATCACTTACAACTGCCTGGTTAGATCATCCACGCATTTAGCTACTGCTCTATACAACTTGTGACTAAAAACACTCGTAGAAGTTGTTTACTTTTGTTTCTTTCTGTCCAGAAGTCGAGCAGAAGGAGGGTGGAGGTTCTTTACCTCCCCCAATTGATCAGCTGACCTGAACCACATCCAGACCAGACAGTCTATACATATTTGTAATCCTATACATAATCTGTTCTTACCCATATGATACTGTGGCCAGGGGGTAGTACCTTCTCAATATTGTGTGTGCAGTCGGTACTACCTGCTAATTTAATGTTGTTGTCCTCAATATGTGGTCTTCTCTCACAGTTCCAGAAGTCTGAAGAACCAGTCAAAGGACTTTTCTCTCTGCCGTCTGCTGTAATGAATGAAATGTAAATCTTAGTGTATTTAAATAACTGTTGTAAAACAAGCATTGGTTTCAAAATAGTAATTGTAATATTTATTTTTAATAAAATAAATGAAATAAATAAAAAGACTAATTTTAAATGATTGTATAATGAAGACATTTGAAATAAACTGAATAAACTATTTGATCTGAAAATGATGTACCAATTTACCGGATAAACACATAAAGAGGGAAATTCAATATTTCTTCATAATCTATCATGCTGAATAGGATAAGGCAGTGTTGAACCTGGACTGGTCTCTACACTATTACAGCCACATGGAGGGAGACCATCATTTACGTTTACCTCAGATGACCAATAAATAGTCCTTAAATTAACCAGACATTCATCACCTCATCAATTCTGGTTTGACAATTTAACAATTAATAATACTTCATCCATCCATGCGTTTATCTCGCCAATATTGGCGGTGAGACATGACATGGCTGCAGAGGAACTTGGGGCAGTCTTGATGCAAAGCTGTGCGTCGTCAGCATAAGAGTGGAAGGACATTCCATGTTTGCTGATGTCCTGGTTTCCATTACAGCAACAGGTGGATGGGAGACAATTGTTTTTGTTATGCAACAATTACACATGAACTGTCATTTTATTTTATTATGAATTAATAAGTGAAGAGTAGGAAATCTATTCTTACCATCTTACTCTCTGGAGTCTGAGGGTCCTTGAGGTCAGGGGGAATAATCCTCCATGTCCTCGTAACCACTAGGTCTCACTTCAGTGACGGCAGCAGCAGGGGTAGAAGGATTAACTATTTTCATTACTGTAAAACTAAATTGCTCCATTCAATGAAGGAGCCATGTTTTTAATGTTAGATCCAACAGAAAACAACTACTTTCACATAATTATTGAGATATTAAAGAAGTTGACGGTTTAACAGCTCCTCTCAAAGAAAGTAGTCTCTTGAGACTACATTTCCTATGAGTGCTGTGTTCCCCTAGGGGAGGAGAGTGGGAGGAGGAACTGGAGGGGTGGGAAAGAATGTGTGGAATTCGTTTCCTGTTCTGCAGCTCAGAGTTGGAGTCATGGCCGAGTGTGATCACTGTGGTCTTAACAAGATGAAGGACCGCTGACTCCTCGGCTGGATTATTGTCCCCAAGACCTTCACCCAGACGAGCAGGAGGAGTAGCAGGAGGTCCACCATGGCCGAGCCGCTGCTGAAGAGAACCTTCTCCAGGCTGAGAGGCAAAGACCGAACCAGAAGAAAGACGGAGCCCAAAATAAGCGGTGAATCTTTAAACATCATCTGAGTACTAGTATTACTAGCACTACTACTTATACATTATCTGATATTAGTACTACTTATACAAATACTTATATGTCATCTGATTCTAGTACTACTACAACTACTAATACTTATACATCATCTGATACTATGACTCTAAGTACTTACATTTCATACATTACGTACCACTGCCAATTATTACTACCACTACTAGTACTACCTCTACTAATTCTAGTACCAATGCTACTACTTCAACTACGGGTCATAAGTTGTATCATCTGTCCATAGTGGACTGGGTTTTAAGTTCTATCTTCTGTTCATACAGGACTGGGTCATATATTCTATCATCTCTCCAAAGTGGATCGGGTCATAAGTTCTATCATGTGTTCATAAAGGACTAGGTCATAAGTTTTACCATCTGTTTGTAAAGGACCGGGTGATAAGTTCTATCATCTATCCATAATAGACCAGGTCATAAGTTCTCATTCTTCAGCTGCTCTCATGTTTTAATGCTTTTAATCAGAATCACATCCAGAGTGAGCACTGAAGACCTGGTCAACATAAATAACTCCATCATAAGTATCAAAATGAATGTGATATCATTATTAATCCTGTTTACATATCAGTTTACATATCAGCTAAGCTAGCAGTTGCCACTTCTATATATATTATTTTGTTTTTTTTCCTAAACTAGGCTAAACTGTTCTATGTCGATAATCTACTCATCTTTAGACAAGTGGTTTAATGTTCAGCTTCCTGTAGATAAACTGGGTCATTTCCTGCATCAAACCTGTGTGTGACTTTGTGAGGCTATGGCTGCTTCCTGTTTATCCTTCATTTAACTTTTCACTGAAGATTGTTACAACTAACTTTTAAAGAATTTAAATAAACAAACTAAATCTTTCTTCAGAATAATTGAAACTAAACTTTAACTAGACATTTAGTCTCCTAATTGAACTCTGAAAGCCTGACTTGTCTGCAGATTGCAGTGTGTGTGTGTGTGTGTCTCTGTCGGTCTGTCTGTGTTTGTGCTGGTGACTGCAGTCTTTGTATGCTTCTGTATACTTTAACCCTCCAATGAATAGTGAATACATAGCAGTGTGTTTATTCTTAAAAACAGAGTTCATTGACACCAGCACAGATACAGCTGTTTATTCCTCCTCATCCTCTCTAATCTTCCTCCTTCTCTCCTCCATTTATCAGTGCTTCTCTGGCTTCTGAAAATCAATAACAGATGCTTAACTTGTAGCACACACACACAAACGCGTCTGCGTTGTTGCGTTGACGCACTTGTTTCAATTCATGGTTGTAAAGTCTTGCGTGTGTTGCAGAGCGATTCACCGCCAGAACAACAGGTGGAGTAACATGTTTTTTTGAAGACGACCTAGAGAGTCACGTCTGTGTGTGTGTGGAAGTCGTTGGTTGCTTTATTTATTTATCAGAGACTTTATTGCCCCGTGCATCCACACTGCTGCTTTTCATCAAGGACACATTTGTCCCGTATTTTCCTCCACGACTTTGTTCCCCTCGTTTGTGGAGATCTCCCTCCATGAATCAGAGGCCATCCGGCGTCCTTATAGTCCGCCAATGATGGCTTGTACAAGTGCTCATATTTACGCATTTCTTCCCACAAAAGCTCTTCAATCTGATCCGTTCTCTCGTAAACATTCTTCCTTTTAATAACGGCCGTATTGTGCTGTGAAAACGGAGATGTGAGACTCCGTAAAGGACGTAGTTAGCAGACCAATCGCAGCCTTGTGGGCTGCAGGACCCTAGAAAAATGGGTCGACGCACGCAAGGAGGTGTGAAAAGGCACGCAAGGGACACGCAAGGGGCTCTTGCGTCTGCGTTTCGTTGTGTCGCTCTGAAAATGCAGAAGCATAAACTAGGCTTTAGAACACGTGACCTCGAATACTCCAACCCATGGAGCACAGACAAAAAAATCTGTTAAAACTAAGTTAAAATAAAAAATAATTGAATAACTAACAAAAGAAGGTACAAAGATTACGCTATTGATAGGGCTATGTTCGGCGGAACAGATTCCCCTTTTCCCGCCCAGTGTATCTAGTCTTGTCAGGCTTTCTGGATCATCAGCTTTTATTCACAAAACAACACCTTTTTGTGCCTGAAAGCATTAACATTTCCATCACAATCTCTTGTGATTGGCAGTAATCCCAACGGTAGCCACGCCCAGCCTGTCCGTTTCCTGTTGTCCATCTTCCCTCTGGCGCCTGTTATGATCGAATCTGAAATGCCTTGCTCTTCTAACTAATCCTCAACCCCATCCATAGCATCCAAGCTTCTTCAAGTAATATATAATAATATGTATCCGAGTCAGCCCTAACTATATGCGTTTTATTAAAGAGGACAGTTTGAAGCCAAATTCAATTGAACTGAGACGAGTTTGCCTGCACCCCGAAATGAAACTCCAAGCTGGTTCCACAGAAGAGGAGCTTTATAACAATTGGCTTTATGTGATTCCAATGGTTACCAGAAAGTTAACCCTCAAGCTCTGTTTTAAAAATAGAGGATTTACTGTTGACAATAAGACAACCGTTGCCAGTCAATTAGTGAGCTGAATGAACACTAATGGTGTTAAATCAATCAATATCAGAATGTTAAGGATGTGAAAAAGAACATCAGTTGCTTTTATAATCCTACTTTGTTAAAGCTTTACGTGACTATATACGTATAAACATTAATACCTGAAGCAGGACTTTCTAAGAGGATACAGGCCACGTCCATGGGTTAAAACGTGTGACAGTGGCGCAGGGAGTAGAAAGGGTGCGCCAGGAACCGCAGGGTTGGCAGTTTGAACCCTGGCTGCTCCATGTCCCATGTTGAAGTGTCCCTGAGATGCCCAACCCCTAACTGCTCCCTGGACGCCCTTGCGGCATCACACTGCTCCTGCGGTGACGGATGGTTTAAAATGCAATGGAATTCGCTTTGGAGAACAGCTAAATGACATGTAAAGGAAAACCTTTGGTATTTGAGATATTGTGTTAAGAAGTTAACCAACAACCTCACTAGGACACAAGCGGTTGCCCGATCTCTAAAATGAAAAATAACTATTTCGATTTTATTTTTTGCTCGTAAATATATATTTAGATCTATATTGTCTTTGTTAAATGTTTTTACCATAACTTTTAAACGTTTTTTGTGTGTCCCTGTTTTTAGATTTGTTTATATCTTTTTCTTATTCATTTGTAAAAAGAAACATGCATAGTATGTGAGAGCAAAGGAAAAAACTAAATCCATGGATGGGTAAACTGATTTATATTCTGTTCCATGAAAACACTAATCAAAGATGTGTGTGTTTTATTCAGAAGTCCTCCAGAAGTCTTCATCATCTTCATCATCATCCATGACAAGAACTTTACCAGCAGCAGATCCAGATCCTCTCTTGCCTCCACAGAACCACATCCCGGTTGGTAAGAAACAGGTGTGGGCATGGCAGGGCTTTTCGGCTCCGTCCCCCTCCTTGCAATCTGGCTCCACCCCCAGAAACTGTAACCGAATATCCCAGGATGCATCTGTGCAGGCCTGGAGTCAGAGGTCAGCACAGGATAAGGTACGAGGTTGCAGGGTTGGTTGTTGGTTGTTTTAATTTCATGGGTTGTCGTTTACGGGAGATTAAGGAGTATTTCCTCAAACATGTATCAGTGAACACTCCCAGTGGACAGACACTTTGCTTAAGTTTTTATTTTGGGTTCGGGTTAGTAGCTGCTCCAGATAGTTTGATGTCCAGGAGTTGACCCTGGGGAATGGACTCTATCCCTTCAGATCTGCTTCTGGTGATTCAAACTATCCTTCTTGTTTGATCTCTTCTTTTAAGTACCATAACATTATCTTTAATTTCTCTGCCTGGTAGTTTGATCTGTCATTTAGGTCAGTGGTCCCCAACCACTGGGTAGACAACTTGGTGCTGGGCCGCAGAGAAAGAAAAAAGGTTGGGGACCACTGCTTGAGGAACCATAACGTATCTTTAGGTTGTCTTTATTTTTAACCCTTATCTTTATGTCCTTCTTCTCCCTTCTTTTAGTAAATACATCATACCTTGTTGTTGGATTCCTTTCCAGTACTTTGAACTGCTCTTCTGGTTGTACTCCTAGACACATCAGTGTAAGGACAGGAAATGGGTCAGCCAATCATCGGATACGGCCGGCACCCCCTGTGTTCCTGTCAGTTCTACCCTAGTACCCGCTGAAGAGCCCCATCCTCCAGAAGCTTCACCCGACCCAACCGTCAGCAGCAAGTCATCGGACCAGCACGCTTATCTGCAAAGCCTAGATCGCACCAGCAGAGCTTGGGTGCTGTCTTCTGGGAAGACCCAGACATTGGATCAAGCAGGGTTTCAGCAGGAGAGCAGCAACATCTGGTATAACCCTATCCCTGAGGAGGAGGACGCAGGAGGTCCATGCAGGGAGAGGGAGATTTGGAGGAAGAGGGACGAGAGGAAGGAAGGAGGAGCCGCCTGCACTACGGAGCTGGGAGGGTTGTTGGGGTCAACAGAATGTTCTAGTGGGGACTTTTCACTGGATGAAATCAATCTAAGTGTTAGCAATCATAATGATGACATCAACACAGAAAACCCAGGTAATAATAATAATAATGATTATTATTAATTATTATTAATAATAATTTATGTAGCATATCCGTCCGTTCCTTTCGACATCTTCGCGCACACCATTTGACTTGGTTTTAAACCGAGCGCCGCCTACAGAATTAAAACATCAAACTCAACTAGGAAATGCACAACGAAAAGACCTGAATACCAGCAGAGCATTCCACAGAAGACTTGCCGAGAACAGGCTGCTCTCTGCGGGCTGAAATGAGTCTCACTGCCCGGTGCTGGAGGGGTCTGGCGGTCCCGTTAACTACACCTCACATCTCCCACGTCCTCGAGCTCAATATGAAGTAGGGTGAATGTTGGCAAACTAATCACATAGATGTTGATTAAACAACTAACTTTTCGCCTGTAATTAAATTCCTAAAATTAAAATGGGCGGGGCGAGTCACATCGGGGTATTATGACCGTTCTCAGCAAGATGCAGACTTTAGAATTGGAACAGTACTCGGGCTGCGTCAGATCACTTTTTACGAGTCCACGAGAACACAAGAACACACAAGAACACATATTGAAAAAAGGCCTTTGTGTCTCTCTCCTCAGATATCATCCCCGCCCCTCCAAAGAAAGAAGGCGTGTCCGGTAGTGTGATTGACAGGCTGAAGTCTCCTGGCACAGTGAGGAAACTCTCCCTAAAGATGAAGAAACTGCCTGAGCTGCGCCGTAAACTCAGCCTTCGCTCCTCCTCTCGCAGCCAACGGCAGGGACTAGACAGAGGGGGAGACGAGTTGACTAGTAAGACCTCATCATCTGTAGCAGACCAAAACGTGATCAGCAGATATCACCTGGATAGCTCCGCCCCTCCAGCCAGGCCTCTAAGACGATCATCGAGAGGACGCTCAGCCAAAGGAGGTCTAGTGTATATGTTTATAAAAAATAGGTCATCAACATCAATACAAGTTACTCATTTATGTCACTAAATCCGAAAAACAATCATGTGGAGACTTTTCTGCAGAGGATATTTAATACGCTTTCATTTACATGATGCCTCTTAATTGTGTCTAAGGTCCTGAAGTAGTTGTGAAAGGAAAAATGTTGGGATGATGGCGATTTCCCTCCTCCTTCATAGCAAGTGATATTGATCTTCTTTATCTAGCTTGATTTATTTTAAATAAATGTTCCATTTAGGTTATCTTAGTGACGGCGACTCACCCGAGCTGCTGCCACGGAAACAGGCCCCTCCTGTCCCAACTCTCCAGGACATGGCGGTCAACGTAAGTGAGTTCCGACTGTACGAGGGTTCCAATCTAGCAAGAAGTAGCCAGCGGGTCACAGGTTTACTGACGGTCCATCTCCTTGGCCTGGAGGAGATGAAGACCAGCAGGTAAAATATTTCAAATTTCTTTGTTCCAGTTTTGTCACCAGAAACCAACAACCACCCGATTTCTCTCGGTCTAACTCTATCCCGTCTGTGTCCTGTATCCTCTCAGGTCAGAGGGCCATAAGGAGGTGTTCCTAGCTATCCAGATTGACGGGGTGACAAGGGCAAGGACCTCCCTCCTGACCCTGAGAGGCTCTACTCTCCCGTTGAACCACACCTTTCACCTGGAGCTGGAGAGAGCCCGGCTGCTCCGCACAGTGGTGTTAACACCAGGTACTGCTGCTGTGTGAGCAGATTTACTTCCTCTGCTGGTACTACCAGTACTACTGCTACTACGGTCACTGCCAGTATAATTACAAACAGCTAAATAAGTAACAGCTACCAAACTAAAAAAACGGGCCTGTCTTTTAACTTAGACTAAAGTGTTTTCTGGAACATGGCACGTCCTTTTCTGGACGATCCTGTTGATGAAGAAGCGGTTTTACTTTGCAGGGTGTTAAACACGTTGGGAGAGAATATTAAGGTCCGATTAGATATATTGTCATTTCCAGATAACTACTTGTTTGGACATGCTCTCACATACGAGCACATTCTTGTGTAGTTTTACTTTTTCTGCAAACGGTAGTTTCCTTTACAACATTAGAATATTAGTAAAGCTGCTGTATGCAGAGCCGTGAGAAACGTGTGCGTCTCTCTGAAACGTCTTTTAAACCTTTTTGTTCCCTGGACACAAACCAGTGAAGCCATTAAAGAGGAGTTCCACAGGATGCACCTGAATAAAACACATTATAGGTTCAATACTATTGTACCAGTTTTTACCAGCGATATTATTCTTGTGATTAAATATGAGCATGGGTGTGTATTTCAAGCCTGTGTGTAGTCCATTTAAACAGTGTAAAAAATGTAATTTTCCCACTGGGAATTAGTAAAATGTATAGATTCTGATTAGTGTGTAAATTAAATATTAACTGACAACACTACATTGGAACTTACACAGTTTCTCTGTCTTTTGCTGCAGTAGCCGTGTTGCTTTTTCTTTCTAATTACGGGTTCATACTCGCCCTACGCTTGCATTAATATTTGCAGCTCAATAGGGATGAATAGATTGGTGGTTGCCATGGTAACTCGTACTATCATGGCTCCATTCATGCTGCATTCATACTGTGGTGGTGCACACGCTCAACTATGAGTCAACCTACTCCGAGTTGATTGAACCAACTCTAAACAGCTGTTGTGAAACCCAAAACTAAGAGTTTCCCATCTCAGGGTAAATCAACTCAGAGTTTAGGGTTCGACTTTCTTAAAACTCCTACTTGAAACGGACCCCAGGTGGGAAGAAGGACATCAGGAGAGTTAGAGAAACAGAGAGGACCTATGACTTTGTTAGGCTACTTCCATCTCAACATCTAACATTACCCTGCATGGCACACAGTCTGCAGACGACCACCAGTGTTTCCCTAAAAGACGGTGGTTTGAAAACTTCCTGGCTAAATGTGGGGAGATCACTTCAAACACAGCCGTAAAATGATGGACAGTTGAGAGCAACGTGCACGAGGACAGCAGGAAGAGTCGCTAGTTCATTTACCACCAGGTGGAATTCTGCCTCCAAGATGATTTAATGTCTGTAGTTTGTGTTTAAAATAACATTAATAAAGCGTGTCTAAAATACACACTTTCTAAAGTGATAACTCATTACTTGTACTTACAAGTACTTACAACTTACTTTAGTCTAATCACCATTAATCAAGAAAATTAATTTCAAAATGTGTGATTAATTAGTTATTTTTGACAGGCCTAATTAATATGTATTTTTAATTTGCATATTGACATGTACATTCAGGTACATGTACATTATTGAAGTAGAAGTACTCATGTGTTTGTGTCTGTAGTTTGTCCAGCAGCAAGTTCAGGGTCTAAATCCGGAATGGACCAGACTTTAGCCACTCCACCCAGGAACCGGGTCTGTGGTCTGGGAGGAGTCTCCATCCCTCCTATCTTTAAAGGTTCAACCCACCACATTACTGGGATTCGATTAGCTGATTTATTCACTTTGTGATTGATTGACTGATCAATTCTGTATCCCAGGGAGCCGCAGTCAGCAGCTCTGTGTGAAGTTAGAGCCCAGAGGTCTTCTCTATGTCAAACTGTCTCTACAGGAGAAGTGGGATACACAGGTAATTATAGTACTTATGAGATAAGTAATGGGATACAAAAGTAATAATATGATGTACAGGTAATACAACTACTAATGGGATATACAGGTAATACAACTACAAATCATATACACGGGTAGTACAACTAACAATGAGATACACAGGTATTAATACTAATAATGAGATAGACAGGTAATGCGACAACAAATTAGATAAGGGTAATACGACTACCAAAGAGATGGCAAACACAGGTACTAATGAGACTCAAAGATACACTGTGATACTACTGCTAATGAGATATACTTTAAAGTTGCACAGTAACAGTACTGCTAATGATACTCAAAGAAACACAGTGATACTACTGCTAATACGATATAAAGTTGTGCTATAATACTACTTTCAATGAGATATTAAGGTTCACATTGATAATACTGTTAATGAGACTTGAAGATACATAACAGTGTAAAGGTTGATTATGACCAATCAGTGCCCGCTAAGGTAGTACCAGCCTTCACATCACAGTAGTACTAGCTAATGATATATAGATCAGAGTAGCACTGGCTATAACGTTACAGTAGTATCAGCTAATCACCCCATAGTAGTACCCAGTGGCGGCTGGTGGATTAAGTTTTTGGTAGGGCCAAAAAAGGTACTAAACACGCATTGTTATTTTGCAGTAAAATATTTATTCAGTGTAACATAATAAGGACTTATTCATACAATTCAGTATATTAATGAGTATATATGTATTCAGTATATTAATGAATATAATATACTGAATATGTAATATATAAAACTCCATATTGTAACTATTATAAATATACAATATAAATATCCTGAATATCATATAATACATCTATGATATTGAAGGATAAATATATTTATATAAAATCTAATAGAACATGTGTGTATATATATATATATATATATATATATATATATATATATATATATAGTTGGTTCGAGAAACATCTAATCAGTGTGTTGATGAAAGACCAACTCAAAAGCCCCACAAAACTTGACACATTGAATTATTTTGGATTAAATGTCCCTGTTTTCATCCACGTCCTGGTTGACTCGTCTCCTGGTGTTCTCTATCAATGTATCTTTTTTTTCCAGTGCATCACATCCCTTACTCACGTAATTTGTCTATGCGGTATTCTGTCCCTGTTGATTTAAAAAGTAAGCATAGAAAGCTAAACACGGTGTTAACGCACAGCTAAACATAAAGCTCTAGCTTTTATATGTGTGGCTTCCCTTTCACGCCAGTCTGTTGTCTGATTATGAGCCCAGTCTGATCTAGGTCCAGTTGTTTTACCTCCAGTTTCTGCAGCAAAGTTCTTCTCTCAAATGGGTCTTGGAGAATGCCGGGTTCGGGTCGGGTCTTCTTGGAAGGACACTGCTCGTCGTCGCTCTTGTTATGTTGTTAAAACTACGCGTCGTGAGCGTAGCTGAATGTAAGCTGAATGTATATTAGGACGCTGAAATTATATGTCACTCATTTAAGTCACCAGTCCGTCAAGTTTGTGGATGACTCCACCCTCTTTGGACTGATCTCTGGTGGGGATGAGTCCGCATACGGGTGGGAGTCCGACCATCTGGTGACATGGTGCAGCCAAACAACCTGGAGCGCGATGCTCTGAGATGGTTGTGGATTTTAGGGAGAACTGAGTCCCACCTTCCCCCATCACCCTGTGTGACTCCGTTTTCTGGGCTCCATCATTGCCCAGGACCTCAAGTGGGAGCTGAACATCAGCACCATCACAAAAAGGCTCAGCAGAGGTTGTTCTTCCTGAGGCAGCTGAAGAAATTCAACCTGCCAAAGACGATGATGGTCCACTTCTACACGGCCATCATGGAGTCCATCCTCTGCTCCTCCATCACCTTCTGGTACGCTGCAGCCACAGCCAAGGACAAGGGCAGGCTGCAGCGTGTCTTTCTCTCTGCAGAGAGGGTGATCAGCTACAATCTGCCGTCTTTCCAGGACTTGATCGCTTCAGGCTACTTGATTACTTTAAGGACCCTGAAGCGAGCTAAAAAGATTGTAGCCGACCCCTCTCACCCCGGACAAAACCTGTTAGTGCCCCTTCCATCTGGCAGGAGGCTGAGGTCCATCAGGACACAGACCTCCCGCCACACAAACAGTTTCTCTGGTGCACTTAACTTTTAACTTTTTATTTTTAACTTATTTTTAATTTAAATTCTTTCTCATCCTTTAGTTTTAAATTGTTTATTCTATATACCCCTAGCCCAGGGGTCACCAACCTTTCTGAAACTCTGAGCTACAGATTACTACGAAGGGCTACTTGTTTGATACAAAACTTCCTGAACAACAAAGTTGCACAGAGCACCCTTTAATAATAATAACATATGTATATAATATATCCTCACAATAATAATTAACAATAATTCCCACAACAATGATAGTAGGAAACAAAGGTATATGTAAACATGGAACATTTATTTCTGTTAATCTATTTTGACATTTGTCAGACGTATCACATCTCTTTTGTACATAATCAAATCTGTAGCAACTTTGTATGTATGACATATTTTGGCAATACATGTTTCCTGATTCCTGTTCTCAAACTCCTGCCCTAGTCTGTTCATGACTTGAGAGTACATTTCTACAGCTTTGTCAAGTGCTAGCTGCAGGAGCATCATCATTCAACACTGACTGTTTGGAGGGAAAGTGCTGCACTTTGTTGTTCATCTTGGCTTTAAATGCATTGATGGCACTTATCATGTCAGCAACAGATTTACTTTTGCCTTGCAGCTCACAGTTTAAATACTTCAGTTTGCCAGTGATGTCGGTTAAAATTGCGAGGTTATTTATGCACTCAGTGTCGTCGAGCAGCGAGGCATCCTCCCCTCTGGTGGCATTGGGACCATTCCTCGCGTCTTTAAACACAGTGTTAGCAACTGGCATCATTGCTTTTTTCAAGACCTTCCCGTCAAAAAATTTGCAGCTCTAAACAAAGCTTCGGTCGCTTTTTGAGATTGTGATTTTATCAGCGGCCTCGTGAAAAAAGACTGTTGTTGGCCCAAAGCTTCTTTCAGGTCGTGGGCCTTTTCTGTCCACAGTGCGCTGCCAGGCGGGTGAAGTGTCTTTCCACATTGAGTTGCTTTGCCGTCATTGTAATGTTACAAAAATTAAAGACCCACAACAAAACATTTTAGACAGAGCTTCATGTTGACCAGGGATACTTTTAGAACATGCCTGCGGGCTACTCGCTTGGTCCCCGCTGGCGGCCAGGTGCGGGCGACCAGGTTCGTTGGCTACTCCTGCCCTAGCCCATAGCCTTATATTTTATTTTATACCGTAGACAAATTGTAATATTATGAATTGAACATCCCGTTGTCTTATCTGTCTTGTTGTTCATTGTCTTACTGTCTGATGTTATGCACCAACCGCCAAGTCAGATTCCTTGTATGTGTAACATATTTTGGTAATAAATGTTCCTGATTCCTGATTTGTCAGTGATTGGCTTAACTGCCTCTTGCCGCTTCAGGACCGGGCCAGAGCCCAGCTGAGACATGCAGACATGTGGAGAGGATGCAGGGAGAGCATATACTTTGCGCAGATATCTTGACTTACAAATATTACTAGGTATATTTCATGTTAAAAAAAACACAAAAAGACACATATTGACCATTTGTAAATGTATTTTTGATATAATAAAAAAATCATAATCTTTTTTTTTTTTCCTCAAGGTGGGGCCACGCCCCATGGCCCTCTATGGACCAGCCGCCACTGGTAGTAACAGCTAATCCCATAATAGTAGTACCAGTCATTACATCCCAGTAGTACCTGCCAATTACATAACAGTAGCACCAGCTAATCACATCACCGTAATACTAGCCAATCAAATCGCAGTAGTATCAGCCAATCAAATCACAGTAGTACCAGCTCATCACGTCACAGTACTATTTTTTTTTAATTTTACAGTGTAAAGGTTTATTTTTATACTTTCTCTCTGCAGCCCTGCACTGACCAATCAGGGCCTTCTAATGTGTTTGGGGTTGAACTGCACCACCTGGTGGAGAAAGAAGGATCCTCCTCACAGATTCCGCTGCTGATCCAGAAATCTGTGGAAGAGATAGAGCACAGAGGTCTGAAGGTATCTATCCTACTCTCCTCCTATCTTCACCACAACAGCCTCCTTGACCCTCAACAGTCTAGCTTCTAGGCAGGCCACTCAACAGAGACTGCCCTACTTGCTGTCTTTGAGCAACTCCACACTGCCTAAGCAGCCTCTCTCTGCTCTGTCGATATCCTTCTTGACCTTTCTGGAGATTTTAACACATTGAACCACCAGATCCTTATTATCTATTTATTTATTATTTCCTCCTGTCTGTCTGTCTCCCAGGTGGTGGGTCTGTACAGACTGTGTGGTTCTGCTGCGGTAAAGAAGGAGCTCAGGGATTGGTTTGAGAGGAACAGTTTGGCGGTTTGTCTCAGTGAGGATCTGTACCCCGACATCAACGTCATCACAGGTCGGTAATCAGCTGGGGGCTGGTGGTTTAGAGGGACCTTTACATGATCAAGGTCAGACCGGTCTTGTCGGGAAGGTGGGTCATGACCTCTGGGTGGTTTGTTCACGGTCACCCTACACACTGGACCTGATAAGACTTCTGAGATAGATGATTGAGCTATTAGGGAAGGATGTTCTTCTATTTACAAAAGGTCTCTACAATAATCTAGACCTTAATGAGGTAAGTCTGACCCTGGTTGATCACATCCCTTCAGTGATTTACAGCAGTGGTCCCCAACCACCGGGCCGTGGACCGGTACCGGTCCGTGGGCCGTTTGGTACCGGGCCGCACCACAGAAAGCTTATATATCCCCCCCCCGTCGATCGTTCCGACCCCCCTGGCGGACCTTCTCGACCGGTCCGCGAAATTGTCTGACAATGAGGTAGAAAAGGTTGGGGACCACTGATTTACATGATTTGACGTTTTAAAGAATGTCTTTTGTGGTGATGAGTCCAAACGATCCTCGAAGAGGTTACGACTCAGCTTCAACTGAGGCCACAGATTCTGAGTGAGCTAAGAGAAGTCCAAAGATTCAATTCAATTCATTTTATTTTGTATAGCCTAAAATCGCAAATTACTAATTTGCCTCAGAGGGCTTTACAGTTTGTACACATACGACATCCTCTGTCCCGAAACCCTCACATCAGCACAGGAAAACCCTTCCAAGAGGGAAAAAAAGACGGAAGAAACCTTAGGGAGAACGTCAGAGGAGGGATCCCACTACCGGGATGGACAGACTACAATGGATGCCATGTGTACAGAATGAACAATGTATAATACATGCAATTATATGACAGAAAAGATTCAAGTAATTGTGAGTAGTAAGCCAGGCGCACAGCAGGACCACTGCAGGGGCAACCACCATCACATAGAACCACCATCAAATAGAACCACCATCACATAGAACCACCATCACATAGAACCACCATCAGATAGAACCACCATCCACAGAAGCCTGTGGGGAGGGAGAGCACAAAGACTTTAGGAGAGGGTAATGTTGGTTTATGAGTACAGTAATATGATTAATATCTAAAATACTAATGATGATGGCAGCAGCAGGCGTCAGCAGGGCCATGGCTGGTGTCAGGACCAGGGTCCAGTAGAAACTACGATCTACGGAGACCTGCTAGGGGAGAAAGCACAAAAAACTCCCGTAAAGAAGCTGAATTAGTCATGTGCATTAACAATGATGATGAGGTTCAGCAAGACAGGAAAAAAGATGAGTCCTTGGTCCAAAGCAAATAGAAGATCATTCGTAATTTTCACCAGTGCTGTTTCTGTGCTATGATGCACTCGAAATCGTGACTGGAAATCCTTGAACAAAGCATTGTTCTATAGAAAGTCACATAATTGATTTGCGACGGATTTCTCAAGGATCTTTGAGAGGATGGGAAGATAAGAGATAGGTCTGTAGTTAGCCAACACCTCTGGAGCAAGGGTAGGTTTCTTAAGAAGAGGTTTAATTACAGCTACCTTGAAGGACTGTGGTGCATGTCCTGTCAACAAAGACAGGTTCATAATATCTAATAAGGATGTGCTAACTAAAGGAAAAACTTTTTTAAGCAGCTTAGTCGGAATCGGATCCAAGAGACAAGTAGAAGATTTAGACTTTGAAAATAAAGAAGTCAGTTGATCAAGGTTGATGGAAGAGATAAGATATCATATACTAATGATTATTACACCTACTTGCAGCAGACAAAAAACAGGTTTTGTAGGTATAGTGTTTGAGTGCTTTCTGCATGGCTTTCTCTGAAGGAGAAAACCACCAGGTCTGAAAGGTTAATGCTGAAGAACTTTAATCTGCTTCTCAAGCTCAAAGCTTCCAAACCAAACCAAAATGTGTTGTTTAGTGAACACCCCAGCAGTGTGAAACCTCATCTATCTTACAATCTCACATCATCTGGTTAAAATTGTATCAATATCACATTGTATCCACTTCCTTTATCCTCCAGATCAGTATCAGTTGTCTGAGGTATACGGACCATGAGACCCTTCTGGTTTCGGTTGTTGTGTCGGGTCCGATCAGGGTGGAACGAGAGGGTAACGTTTTGCTTCCAGTAAGTCACAATCCGACATAATGACTTCTTCTGATTGCCCTGTGGGTTTTATCAGGTATACTGAAGGACTACCTGAGGGAGCTGCCGTCTCCACTCATCACCAGGACTCTATACCAGGTCATCCGACAGGCCATGACCCTACGACCCCCACATGCCCCACCCTGGACCCCTGATCCCCAGCTTGCCCAGAGCACTGTGGAGCTGCTGGTCTGTCTTCCACCTCCAGAGCGGGTAACTGCAGTACTACAAAACTACTGCAGCGATAACTTCATTCATCCATTATAATTACAAAAAGTTCAGTAAAAGTTTCATCAAAATGTCAGAATCTAATGTATCAGTCTGATTTTGCTGTTGATTCAGTCAAATCAATATGAGCTTTTCTTCTGCCCGCACAACGATGACAAAGTGAAAGTGGACCGATTGAACTTGAAACAGCATTATTAAATCACAGCTGTGTAAATCCATTGGTTAGGAGAGTTCACCAGCTCCTCTGCAAACCCACCTATCCCCTTTCCAGGCCACCCTGGCTCTCCTTCTGAACCACCTCAGTCTGGTGGCCTCCCTCAGTTCCTTCAACAGGATGACCCACCAGAACCTCGCTGTGTGCTTCGGTCCAGTGCTCCTCACCCCAACCCAGGAGGCGTGGAAGGGGGGAAGAGGAGGAAGAGGGGGGAAGGTATTCGGTCACCGTGAAGAGATGGCGAACGCCGTGGATTTCAAGCGACATATTGAGGCTTTGCACTACCTGCTGCAGCTGTGGCCAGGTAAGACAAGAGGCGCTACAGTGTCCTTCACAACAGGCCCACCCTGTTTTGATGCTGAACCCGCTGTTACTATGGAACCCGCCCTACCTTCAACAGGTGACACATTGCCCAGCATCATTTGTTGGTATCTTCTTCCTCAGTGCCGACCCATCAGTTCCCAGCAGATGACCACATCAACGTCTCCCCGCCTCCCTCCCCAGCCCTCATCCAGAACCCTCAAGGAAAGCAGCATTGGCGACCTACGCTGCGATTAACTCTGCCTCGGAACCCTGAGGTGGTGGTGGTGTCAAGGCGGGGTCGAGGTGGCCTGGCCCGGCTGGATAGTCCCCCACCAATCAACCGGTACGCCGGCGACTGGAGTGTCTGTGGACGAGACCTTTTGTTGGGACAAGACGCTGATTATGACGAGGTGGCAGGAAGTGAAAGTGAAAGAGGTAAACTCCAGAAAACATTTCTCACCTCACAGTGGACAATCGTCTTCATCCAAAGAGTACAGAGTCTAAATATCAGCAGCTTCACAAACCGCAATGAGTCATAAAGTTCTGAGAATCTCAAGTCAGAGAAGAGTCATTGCAGAGTTAAGACAAAAAAAAGGAAATCGTGAATCATATTTTCAATAGCTGCACCTCTGACATACTTTTTGTCTTAGTTTGTCGTAAACATTTTTTACGTAAACAAGTCCTTTCCAAACCTTTCGATATATTGAACCTTGCTCTGGCCCTGAACTCTCTGTCCTTCTTTTGGTTGCTGTTTCAGGCAGCGGGGATGAAGGCAAGGTGGCGAAGAACGAGGCAAGATCCTCAGGAGGAATAGGCCTCTCCATGGATGAGTTCATGGATTTTGACGCTCCATTTAACTGCCGGCTAAGCCTAAAGGACTTTGACGCTCTGATCCACGATTTAGACCGGGAGCTTGCCAAGCAGATCAACATCTGTCTCTAGAGCCACACCATTTTATTGATATGATCCAAAGGCAAACAGAGATTCTCACAGTTGTTGACCCTTCAAAAATGTGAACTGGTGTCCCACTGACGTCCATTTCTTCTAGAAGGGTGTGCTGACAGTCCTGTCTTTTTTCTGTACCCGCTGCCCTCTTCCTGGTTTCGGTACCGCAAGCTTTATTTTGTACCTCCCATAACAGCAGAGCGATATGAGCATCACACAAATTTTCCGTTCAGCCACAGTTCAGAGTTTTAACAGTGATTACTTTTTGATCCACAGAAGAAATAGGATGCCATACCCAGTGTTACCAATAATAATGTTGTTGTTTACTGTGTCTTTGTTTGTTCTGGGTTGTTTCTTTAGAGTATTTTCTTTTTTTGCACAAGGATAGTAAGCACTTATGTTTTTAATTGATAATGACAATGTTTGTAAGTAGATGAAACCAAAGTGTTGGAGCACAGCTTCTGTTGGAACATCCTACTAAGCTAACTATTAAACACATTATTATTTGTATTAGTACAATATTATTTTGTATTGACTGCCAATGCTTTTTACCAGCAGTGCTCTAAGAAATCTTACTTCAACTTTTACGAAGGAAGGACAAAGCTTCAGCCCTATTTTCTGATCAAACTGCAAGGTTGGCGGTTTGAACCCTGGCTCCCTCATGTCCCATGTCGAAGTGTCCCTGAGCAAGACACCTAACCTCTAATTGATCCCCGGGCAAAATGTAAAACCATGGGTTAAAATGCAATGTAAGTTGCTTTGGATAAAAGCATCAACTAAATTACATGTAATGTAATGTACGTATTAAGGCTGGGAGGTATGGCCAAAAATCCATATCACCGTAGTTTTAACCGTCCTCTGACGGTATCCCGGTATATGACGGTATTGCTTTTTCAAGTGAACACATTAATTAATTGACCCAGAAAAGGACTACCTGAACAGTTGTGTGCTGTACGCACCATGCAGTTCGGTGGGGTTATTTTTAATAAATGTACATTTATTGGTGATACAAATTGTTTATTGTAAATTACGAATGATCTTCTACTTGCATTCGACCAAGGACTCATCTTTTTTCCTGTCTTGCTGGACCTCATCATCATTGTATCCTGTTGCGGTGACCAGAACATTTGATTATGTTTGATTTGATATTAAAGAAACCGCACTCAGCTAGTTTAAGTCGTATTTATCGGATTGATCCCAGTTTGTGCTTGTGAATCCTCGCTAACCACCAATTTGGGTCACAGAGTCCCACTCGGTTCTGTGCTTGAACCTATTTTATTTACCCTGTATGTGTTTCCTTTGCGCGATGTTATCAGAAAACACAACATAAACTTCCACTGTTATGCAAACAATACTCAATTCTATCTGCGGATCGAGCCAGAAGTGACCGACCAGCTTGTTACATTACATGTCCTTTAGCTGACGCTTTTATCCAAAGCGACGTACAATAAGTGCATTCAACCATAGGGTACAAACTCAGAAGAACAAAAAACAAGAAAGTGCAATTTTCTCAAATAAGCCAACTTACAATTTGCTATAGATGAGTGGCGTTATAAGTACAATTTAAGTGCTACAATTTGTCAGTCTTTTAGTCGAGGTAGAGTCTGAAGAGGTGTGTCTTTAGTTTGCGGCGGAAGTCAGACTGTTAGACTTCAAGAATGTCTTGGAGACATCAGAACCTGCAACTTCCTAATGCTAAACTCAGACAAAATAGAAGTCATCTTGATAAACCCAGAGTGCCTTCGAAGTCAGCTGTCATCGTCAAGAATCTTGGAGTTCTCTAATGCTCACATAAAGACTTCAAGGACTGTCCTTTTTCATCATCGCGATATATCGAAAGCCAGGAACATCAGCAGGGCCATGGCAGGAGGCAGGAATACGGTCCAGATAGATCCACGATCCATGGAAACTGTGAGGCAAGATAGCACAAATACTCATACGTGAAAGAACATAGCATAACCCTAAAACATAATAAAACTATTTATTATAATACTATAAAACAGAAACATAACAACAAAAGACTAAATAACCAACTACATTACATGTCAACTAAATTCGGAAATGAAGTAATACACAAAATATATTTTCACTGAATGAATTATACAGAATATATAACAAATTAAAGGAGTAAAAAATAGCTTGACATTTTTTTCTGATTACTATCTTCAAAATTAACCTCTGCCCTCATGAGATTGGCTGACTCTCTTTTTCTCTCCTCTTGGGGTCGCTCTCTCATCACTTGCAGTTCTCTCTGCTGGGTTGAAGGGAATCCTCTCAACCAGAACGATTAGAAATCCCTCTGCATCTCACACACACACACACGCCAAATGTTTTTTTTGTTGAAGGTCGGCTGCTTTCTTTCCTTCATTTTCTCTTCAGTTTTCAGGTTTTTCTTGCCTGCTTTTGTTCTTTTGTCCAAATCCATGCAGTACAGTTCGACTGTGGAGTCGTACTGTAGATACCAACTGTACATTCTGACTGTTGAGTTCAAATGTAGATTAGATTGTAGATATATATATATATATATATATATACGGAACACGGAATATATATAATCAGTGTTTTTCTTGCATTATATTATCAGGGTTCCCGGTATTTTACCTTAACCTCTATCTTAATTACTCCATTGCACTTTAGGGTTAGGGTTAGTTTTTCTGTCCCTACACGTCGCACGTTTACAATCCTCCCCTGCTCTCTGAATTGCACACCGCAGAGTTACGCCCCAATGCGCACACAAATGCACACAGGTGAGCACAATCCCACCAGCGGGAGAAAGCACTTGCCGGAATTCCGGAGTTATTCTGTCACCCCCAAAATCTGTAAACCCTAGGTAAAATACTGTATATGTATTGTTATTATGATTATTATTTGTCATCTCTCTCTCTCTCTCGATCTCACATATATATGTATGTATATGAATGAGGGATGACAGGTGAGGTATTGTCATAGTGATGTCAGTCAGGTCGTGTTTTTAGTTTCCATGTTAAATTATTTTAGAGACAGACTCCTGTTTACAAAATTAACTTTTGAATTCAGGTTTGATTCCTGCCTCTTCTTCTCTTGTAGAATCACATAAAAATACACACACGCACACACTTCAACACAGAGTGGAAAGTAGTTTAATGGAGCTCAATGAATGTTTTTCACAGAGTCAGCTGTGTGTTGGTTTGTGTGCCCATCTGTGGCCCATCTGACTTTGCCGGGACATCTGGGAACCCGCTGGTGAGCCGCTACGAACCACAGTTGATGTCGCTATTTAAATGCAAATGTGTATGTGTGAGTGTGTGTCTGTGTTTTAATTGTGTGGGTGTTGAGCCTTCGCACCGTCACACACCCAAAAAGAAACACTTCACTCACAATAAAGATGAGGAGGCTTATTATAGACACACACATACTGTGCTGCGCGGCGACTCGTCTGTTAATGAGATAATAAACTGCAGAAGAAATCTCCCATAATAAATTTAAAACGTTTTCTGTTTGTTTTTAAATATAAATGTAAAATTACATTCTACACTTTAAATTCACTTATCAACTGTAAATCAGAAAAATATGTGTTTAGTTAATTCCTACCTTTTATTCTCAACTTCAATACTCATTTTAAATTTAAATATAGAAATACAGAAAAATTAAGAATAAAAAGAAAAGAAATAAACAAATTCAGGTCTGAAAAATAACAAATGTGTTAATACAAATTTGAATGTCTCTTCTTCCCTCCCTCCTCCTTCTTCCTTTTATCTTCTTGTTTTCAGGGTGCACAAGTGAAACCAGGTAAAAAAATAATAAACCTACAATAGCTCATATTTATATTACTGGATCACATTGATTGATGGAAGTTTGAAAGTATCCAAGTTTGTGATCATGTAAATGAGATAAAAGAGAAGCTCAGTTAAAATGTATATATATTAGAAAAACAATGTACACGTTTCTTCTTCATTATTTTATTTAAACACAAATTCATTTTGTTGATCCTAATTTACTCTTTCATATGTTCTAATTTTCTAATCGCTTAAACATAAAAATGGTATAACCTTTAAAACTCATCTTATATCATTTTATTATTAATGTTATTCATATTAACTTTTGTTTCACTATGTGGTACTTCATAATTTGTACAATAAACATGAAGTACAAATGTATTTTCTCTATTGTGTTAAATTTAAATGAACAAAACAATTACAAAACCAAAGACGATAAATAAAGATAAATAACATATGTAATACAAACATACAAGGTGAACATGAAAGGTTTTAAACAGGAAGTGATGAACATAAAAAAGTTTCATTTTAAATCAAAATTATATTTTAAACTCATGGGAGAGGAAAAAATGGTTGTGTCCGTTACGGGAGCCCCGCCCCCCGCCCTCGGTCCCCCTGCCCCTCTCTCGCCCCTTCTAGGCCTCCCCCCCTGCACACCAGGGATTTGTCCCATAAGGAGGAGGCCTCATTTGGAAACCAGATTGCCAAGGCTTCCTCCTCTCGACTCCCCCTTACTCAGGCCTCCCCACCACTCCCCCTCCAGCACTTTCCATCAGACGTCCTCCTTTAGACAGCTCATTTATTCGTCCATTTAAATTGAATTATTAGCTTTTTATTAGACAAATAGAGCAGCAGTATGATCGATACAAAGTATGATTATTGATATTATTGTTATATCATTATGTCTAGTATAATGGTCAGTTTATTAATCAGGTTTTAATAGATCTCAATTTCTGCAGCTGTAAAAATGTGGAGAAGGAAAAAGTCTGCAGGACTCACCAGATCTTCATGGAGACGCATCTTCTCCTCCTCATTCTCCTCCTCCTGTTCTCCTTTTCCTTATTTATTTATTCATTTTTTCTTCATCATCATCTTTTTCTTTTTCACCTTGCTTTCCTTTTATTTACTGTTTGCTTTCATCCTTCCTCTTTTCCTTTCCTTCCCTTTCCTCTTCCTCTCCTCTCTTATCCCTCCTTCTCTTCTCTCTCCTCTTACGCCTTCATTCCTCATCCTGATGTTTTTCATCTCCTCGGTCCTCCCCTTGGAGGCCTTCTCTCCCAGAGCAGTGCAGCGCTGGTACTCTGAAAACCTGTCTCACTTCCTGTCTGTAAGCGACATTACTCAAAGCTTCATCAAGTAAAAGTCAAAACATGAAAATCATCAACCTTCTCTCTTCAGCACAACATGAAATCGGAAGCAATGAATGTTTCTATGATAATAATATTTCCTTCTTTCAGGTATGGCAGAGCGCCACCTATTGGTGATTTCATCAGAGATCCCCGAATGGCTTCGCCCCAGGATGGAGAGGACTGTACCTTTAAATCCTTAAGAGGGAGAAGGAACGGACCACAACTGGAACCAGGTCAGAGTCCAATTCTGAGAGAGCGAGAGAGAGAGAGAGCAGGAGAATTTACTCACTCTCTGGTTGGTTGGTGGAAGACCCCCTCTTCTCTTTCTCTCTCACTCCTCACACACACCCCTCTCACCTCTGCTGTCCTTGTATGGTCAGGCTCCGCCCCTGCCAGTGATGTCATCAGCAGCTTGGAGGAAGACCCGTGGGGTTTTGGGGTTTTGGCGTCCAGTCCTGTGGGGCCGCAGGGCTGAGAGTTTCTCCTCCACTCCTCATCCCTCTATCATAGCACCTGTCTCCGCCTCGCTTCATCTCTCTTCGGCTTTCTCCTCCTCTCTTTGGGGAAAAGAAAAAAGGCACTTCCCTCGCACTAGATTCTCCGTTCTGACTAGCCTCTTTTCTTCGTTTTTGGTCCTCTGAGGATTTTATTTTCCTTATTTTTTCCTCCTCCTCCTCCTCCTTCTCCTTCAAACTGGGTTTCAACACAGCGGCCAATAATTAGAAAAAGCCATTTAAAAACGAGGAAATCTTTGTCGCTCAGTTCGAAAGTTCGATGAAATGTGAAAAGGAGGAAAAGTTGTGAATAAATCGTCTGAAGCAGCTTTTTTTCTGCTGGACTTTTTTTCTCGTCCTTCTCCTCCCTCTTCTCTTTCTCCTCCTTTTCCTTCCCTGTCTCCATCTCCTCCTCCTCCTTCTCACCTCTCATCCTTTTCTCCTCCTCCTCCTTCTATTCCTTCACCCCCCTCCTCCTTCACCCCCTTGGGTCCTGAGATGTTCAGCCTCCAGGACAGCAGCCTTCCCCGCGGGGCCACGGCGGGCCTGAAGGAGGAGCCGCTGGTGGTGCGCTCCTGGATGCACTCAAGCGGCGTGGTGGACGCCAACACGGCGGCTCAGAGGTAAACGCCCAGGGGGATTGTGGGAGATGTAGTCCCAGCAGATTGACAGCTGCTCAGCAGCAACATTTACATCATCAATTTATTGTATTTCTGATCAAACCGAACAGGTTTAGAAATGTCGAAACTATTTTTCTCATTCAATTGATGGGATGTTTTATTAATTGTATTATTTTATTTCATTTATGTATTACTTACTTGCGGTCAATCAAAAGGATCACAGAATATTATTCTGCCAAATGAAAATGCATGATCAGATCAAATCTCCTTTTATTAATGGTGAGTCAAATCACATTTTCCTGAATTAAGTTTAAAATCAAAAAGGAGCAAGAAACAGATGAATGTCCCATTTGGGAAGTTAATAACAATATGAGTACAACATTTATGGTGAATAATAACTAATAATGAATCCACTTCATTTAACACATAAATATTTATGTTTATATATGAAGATACGTTTAAACTAAGGAGGAAATAAACATTTTTGATTTAATGTTTAGTAACAAAATAAGTCCAAATTATTATTATTCATTAATACTCAATACTTATACTTTTGTATTACTTCATTAATACAAAAAAAAGTTGTTCAGAGCTGCATACAACTTTACAAACTATAAAAGTTGAATTATTCTTAATTGCAAATTATTTCAATTGGCTTTAGGTAATAAAATAATAATAATACAAAATTAATTAAATGTGCAACATGAAATAAAAACTATTAATAATCACATAAGGGTCCATTTCTAAAACAGTTATTAATAGATAAAGATAATGGTAAATCTTTTTGGACTTTAATAGTTTATATTTCTGTTAATCTTATGAGATGTTGAAATGTAGTAATCACAAGAAGCAACAGTATAAAATAAAATAAAATCTCCAAATGAAAGTTAATTCTTCACATACATTTTAGAAGTATAGAACCATCTTCGATAGTCTGTGTCCTGAAGCCGTGAAGAACATTTATTTATTTATTAACCCCTAACTCTATTTCACATATTTGATATATTCTGTGTTTTAGCTCCTCTAACTTGTTATTTTTCTCTCATTTGTTTATATTCAACAGAATGTAAATATTAGTTCGGTCAAAGCTGCGTTATGAATATTTATTCATGTGTTGTTGGAGGTGAAAGCCTGGAGTGGCGGGTCACTGAGGAAGATTTCCTTTTTCTCTGAATTATTACTTCTAATTAAAATGTTCATTTCTTTCTCATTTAACATGAAGATATTTTACATGTTTTACTTTGTTAAGCACTAAATTATAATTGTAATTAATAATACCTTTTTACAAACCTGGCACAAGGTCTGTCTATAATTACATATTGGATGTTGTGTCTTTCCTTCTGAGGAGCGTTTGATTTAGAGCCCAGTGCCACACGGCTTCGGGTCAAATGAGGCATTAACGTTGAATCCATAATTCAATGTTTCACATTTCATATCCATGTGGGCGGAATGTGACACCTGGATTCTAGAAACCTCTGAAACATGTTAATAAATAATAAAAACAACCATAATGTTTTGTCTCCTTTGAAGTGAAAGTAAGAAGTAAACATTTAAAGATAATTTTCATAATTTATTGATATCATTATGAATTCATTTATTGATATTTTCTGTAGTGTGATAAAAAAAAGCTTTGAGATAAAGCATCACCTTTACCTTAAACTACCCTCATTTCGTATTGATATTGGGTGTGTTTGATATTGTGTCTCACCCTGCTGCTTGTCTCCTCCCTTAGCGGAGTGGGGTTGGCGCGCGCTCACTTTGAGAAGCAGCCTCCCTCCAACCTGAGGAAGTCCAACTTCTTCCACTTTGTGCTAGCGCTATACGACCGGCAGGGCCAACCGGTGGAGATCGAACGCACGGCCTACGTCAATTTTGTGGAGAAAGAAAAGGTGAGGGAGGAGCCAGTACCGGAATCAAACACATCTTATGGTCAACACCAACGCACTCTTTGAACATAAAGCTCCACGAGGGAGAAGCAAGAATGGGAAACAAGCTCAGGTCCACGTATCTGAGCAATGACAGACGAAATAAACGAAATACACCCTTACACCAGGGGTCACACATGTCACATGGTGTCAAACAGTCAGGGTGAAGAATCCAAACACACAGGAGTTTTACATGTATTAATATTATCATTAATAGTTTTATTTTATTTTGTGTTCAGGAGCCGAGTGGAGAGAAAACCAACAACGGTATTCACTACAGGCTGCAGCTGCTCTTCAGTAACGGTGGGTGGCGCTTGTTTTACTGCCCTGCTGCACACCCAGAGTTTGTGCAGCAACGTTAAATGTTCCTCACAGAACTAATTCAGATTATTATTATTAAATATTATGATTAATTATAATTAATATATTATTATTGATCGCATGATGATCACATAAATAAAAAAATTGTAAGAATAACAGTAATATTATATTGATATTATTAATAATGTTAAAATATTGATAAGAGTTGTAATAATAATCATAATAATAATGTAATTATTTCTAATAATAAAGACACTACCTCTTGTTATTTCAAAAATACTGACAATTATTTACATTACATTACATGTCATTTAGCTGACGCTTTTATCAAAAGATAAGAACAAGAAAGTGCAATTTTATCAAATAAGCCGATTTACAACTTGCTACAGATAACTGTACAATTTAAGTGCTACAATTTGTTAGTGTTTTAGTGGAGGTAGAGTCTGAAGAGGTGTGTCTTTACTCTGAAGATGTGAAGGCTCTCTGTGGTCCTGATGTCTTCAGAGACCTCCTTCCACCATTTAGAAGCAGGACAGCAAAGAGTCGTGATCTAGTTGAGTGTTTTGCTCTCAGTGAGGAGGAACAAGCAGTTTGGCAGATGTGGGTCGGGATGTCGGATTGGACCAGGTCCTGGATGTAAACTGGACCCCATCCATTCACAGCATGGTACATGAGCACCACTGTTTAGAACTGGATGAGCCACCGGTACCAGTGAAGAGAGCGGATGAGTGGAGTAGTGTGGGAGAACTTAGGAAGGTTAAAGACCAGTGGAGCTGCTGCATTCTGGATGAGCTACAGAGGTGGAATGGTGGTAGCAGGAGACCTGCAGGAGAGAGTTACAGTAGTCCAGGAGGGAGATGACAAGAGCCTGAATCAGTACCGCCTTTTGAGTGAGAAGGGGACGTATTCTCCTGATGTTGTAGGGCGTGTATCTACAGGATTGTGTTGTCGCAGTGATGTTGGGAGTCAGGGAGAGTTGACTGAGCTGCAGAAATATTTTCCTGCAAAAAATGTGTTTTTAGCTAAAAGCTAAAAGCTGAAATGAATTTGAAAGTATTGCTGAAAATACAGAAATTGTTTTTTTTTAATGCAAAATCTTCGAGTGTCATGTCAGGTGGTTGGGGAAGCTGTTGAACGTTTGCGCAGCACTTTCGTTGTATTCAGGCTGATTAGACGAGTCATTAGAGTTAGTCGAATCAATCCTATGAACCCTAACCCTGATGTAACGACTCTGCTGTCATATGTCCAGTCAGGGCCAGGTTTCTTTACATTTTTGACAGCCCTGTCCACTCTTTTGTCCCTCTTGTAACGTGGCCAAAGGCAGTCATCGTCATTATAACAACTCTGTGGTACTACTGTTTCAGTTTTCGTTGTTGATAAACTCGATTAAATGGAACATTCCGTATTATTAACGAAAAGAAACAAAAAGTGTCATCAGTCACAGAAATATAACTTCCTGTTCCAAGACATTTTGAACACAATACTCAAAAATGCTCTATATGCAGGAGTATGTGAATTGACTTGCTTGAAAACAGAGGCATACTGTAAAAATGTGATGAAACAGAAATGGGCTTTTTGTACACATTGAAGACAAGCTTACACAAAGACCCAATGTCAGGGTTAGCTTTACCTGCACAAAGCTCGATTTGTGAATTGTGTCCTTTTTCCTGTACTGTGTTACTAGTCTTGTTATCCATTGTTTCTTTGTCTTACTGTCCAACGGTATGCACCAACCGCCATGTCAAATTCCTTTCATGTCTAACATACTTTAGCAAGAAATGTTCCTGATTCCTGAGCACTACATCTAATAAGCAGGGGGAACCATTTGATATTGTTAGACCAATGTAAAATTAATTATGCATCTCTCCAGGTCCCTGTCCCATCTAAATTCTTGATTTTTGCAATGACCTAAAATAATACACCATGTTTTGAATTTTACACTTAAAATCATGGTTTTAAACCTATTTAAGGAAAGAAAATATGATGCTTACCAAATTAGTTACCAAACAAAGGCTTACCTTTGGTTGATCAAATGCTCGTCACATTCAAAACTCTTTCAAGTTTTGTGGCTCCAAAATTTAGGCTGCCTGTTACGTGCCTGCAGTATTTGAAATGGGGAAAAAGTTGCATTTGAAGTGCGGATCTGCACCGTGTCAGCAGTGGTACCTCTGATCCGCTGTAGAGTCAGACACGGTGTGGCCATGCGCACCAGATCTGCCCCGGAGTCGACTCTGCATCTGGGGTGCTAGCTACCACTATGCTAGCTAATGCGTGCATAATACTACAAAATACTTTTTGAACCATATTCTGACACTGCTCTCCCCTCTAGCTCTTCAGTGTCAAGTCTAGCTGGCCACATACAAACTAATAAAATTTAAAATCTCGGACGGTCTGAAAAACTATATATAATATATAATAAATAATACGTATCATTAAAATTGGAAAGTTTTATCAAATAGATATCAAAAAGCTGTTTTTTTAAAAAATAGTTTAGGCTTTCTTAAACAATTTGATGTTTAAAATGGTGGCTATAGCTAAAAGATTGAGGAAGAAGGAGGCTTTGAATGTTAAATTAAAGCACTATTGGAAAACCATGTTAAAAGGTCCATGAATTTGATTCATATTAATTCAAGCATACCAGTTGTAAAAGACTGACAGCAGGAATGTCCTGAAAATATTTCAACATTTTTAATAGCTGAAAGGAGTTCAAAATATGTACGGAAGAAACAGAAAGAAGAATAAAAAGAAAAGAATTAGAACATGCATTTCCTTCAGATTCCAACGCATTGTTGGAATGCTGAAAGTATGAAGCTGTAAGCCAAAAACTGAAATGAATTTGAAAAGAATTGCTGAAAATACTAGCAGTAGAAGAATTAGTTGTGCTTGAGCTGCATTCCAACTATATAATCCTTACAATAGTATAATGATACTGACAATTACTTAATAATTATTATAATTGTAATTATTATAATGGAATTCAAAATGACTGGATTTTGTTATTAATTTGTCATTATTTGATTTCAAAATTATAATGATATTAACAACAATGCTGTTAATTGTCTGGTTTTCAGGAGTGAGAACAGAACAAGATCTCTACGTCCGTCTGATCGACTCCATGACGAAGCAGGTACAAAAACTAAAGGGAGTAAACAGGACGTAGACAGAAGTAGACAGGAAATTTATTGGAAGACAAAATCCAGAAACTGATTGATCCGCTATCTCGTCTCTAAAAAAAACTTCTCTTCACAAGTTTGGTTCTGGATGTTTGAGATCCAGAAAGGGGCGGGCTGGCCATAGGGGATCCCGGGGAAATCCCCAGTTAACCCTAACCACAGAGTGGAGATACCGGTGCATAACAAAACAATAGGTTGTAACACCCCTACACACACAATGACACACACAGGATGCAACACTACTGATACCACTGATGGTGTGCTTTTTTCTGTTTCTTTCTACAATATAGCTTATACTAAGTCTACCCTCTGATTCCAGTGTCTTTACTGTCAGTTCTTTCTCTGCTGACATTCATTCGTTAAGGCTCTGTAGATATACATATAACCATCGGATACTAGCCCAGAGAGAAGCATATTCATCTAGAAAACTACCTAGAGTGTTACCATAGCCAGTATCATTTTATTCCATGTGTCCATCCAGGCAAATTGGTGGATCCAAATGTTATTAAAAAAACATATGTTGTAACTTCTTTGTAATCATTCAAAATAATGTTACAGGTGTTTTTCCAGGCCACTGACTGGCTGAAATGTGCGATGCTTTGAGCGGGCAACGCTGTGTGTTACGCGTCCCGGTCTCACAGGAACTCCCGGGCCACTTTTTACCCCCCCCCCCCGTCCGCATCTGCATCCAGATGTTTGGTTCCAGATATTCGGTTTTGAATGTCTGGTTTGAGGCAATTTAGATCCAGATGTTTGGCTCCAGATGTTTGAGATCCAGATGTTAGATTCCAGGACTTTGGTCTTCTAGACGTTTGGTTCTGGATGTTTGGTTCCAGACGTTTGAGATACAGCTCTTCAGCTCCAAATGTTTGGGTGCGAATGTTACATGTTTGATTCCTGTCTGCTCACATCCGATAATCACTGCTTGCTCAGAGAGATGTTTCAACAATGAGAGCTGAAACTTTACGAACATGAAGCACACCTGAACACACCTGTGTGTTTGTCTCTGTTTCAGGCCATCATCTATGAAGGACAGGATAAGAATCCAGAGATGTGCAGAGTTCTGCTGACTCATGAAATCATGTGCAGGTAAGAACTCCACAGGGCTCCCAAGTGTCACGCATTGAGCGTGACAGTCACTCATTTAGTTCTGGAGTCACGCACTCCCACCACACATCTAATTTCTTACGGAAAAAAATCGGACTTCGTCCTGAGCTGCGTTGGTTCGTCTGCAACCTCCCGTAGCTTAGCGTTCGGGCCCCCACCCCGTTCACCGCATCGTCCGCAGCAGCCCCCACACCGTCGCCCGTATGGTCACCTCTGACAAAATGTCACTCCAATTTTTTTTTTAAAGTTAAGAGCTCTGACTCCACCCTGATTACATCGTCACATGTGCTCGCCACCGACTGAGACTTTGAACCCTTCAGTCAAAGACACTGGTTTTTGTAAATACCTGTACTACCTTTACCAAGTAAGGCATTCCTTTGACTTACTACTATTTATTTCATAAACTGCACTGCAACATAAATTCAATTTTAAGTTTGTTTATTATTTTAATGATGTTTCAATCAATGCTCTTAATTGGTTTTAATTTCTTTTCTTCCCATGTTTTGATGGTTTAGAAGTTAATGGTTTTATAAGAAGCATCAGAATTGTCATGTTGTTGAAATGTGAGATACTAATAAACTTGCCTTACTCCCTGTAGTACCTGTGTACTTCACCTTCACAATCTGTACTACATGTGTGCTATAACAACAAGGAAGTACTGACTGTTTCTTATGACCAAAGTCAAATGATGATGACATTATTCTGTGTCTGTTTCAGTCGCTGCTGTGATAAGAAGAGCTGTGGGAACAGGAACGAGACGCCATCAGACCCCGTCATAATCGACAGGTACACACACACACACACACTCACACACCCTATAAAACACAACTTAGAATCTACTAAAGTGGTGAAATAATTTGTACTCGGTTTGATTGAGTAGATTTCACCACATGTTTAAAGTAAAGCATACCTACGTTTTTCAACTAAGATACACTAAAAGAAATGAGTTATACAACTGATTATCTACAAAAAATAGGTAATATTAACTCTACATTGCAATAAAGAGATGCAGTTCATTTGTAATGCGACAGTACACCCATATTATTTCTCAGTTTAGGGTCTTTGGTCAGTGTTCAGTTCTGTTCAAGTTCATGTATCTTTTGTCAAAATTGGCATACCTGAATAATTCTTAAATGCTCTTTATGGTTTCCATTAGATCCACCTATGGAAGAAAAAAAAGTTAATGTGAATTGTTATTGTATCAGCTGAAGATCTAGGCAGGACATGAAATCAAAGAATTCTATAACAGCAGATCACAATTAATTGTACTGGTTGCTCCCTCAACGCATCTGTTAAACTCAAAACACACTGAAAAAAATGCCTCAAACCGCTGCCTTTAAAAAACTGGATGGTTAGTTATAAGATAAATCTAGCTAGCAGACGTTAGGTAACATAGCTAAAATAACCATATAACAAGCTAATGTTAGCAGTTAGCTGAAATTTGGACCAAAACGAGCTAAAAAGATCGTAGCCAACCCCTCTCACCCCGGACAAAAACTGTTTGTGCCCCTTCCATCTGGCAGGAGGCTGAGGTCCATCAGGACTAAGACCTCCCGCCACACAAACAGTTTCTTCCCGTCGGCAGTCGGGCAACAGAGCCGGTCCCCCACTGACTGACTGCAACATTCCATCGGTCACTCCCTTCATACTGCACATGTCACTTTAACTGTAATTTTTCACTTTGTCATCACTCGTCACTTTGTCACTTGTTCGCTAGTCTACTTTATGATATTTTAAACTTTTTTAATATTTTAAATTTTTAAATTTAACTTTATTCTCTGGTTTTATACTAACGCACAGCCTTATTCTACTAACCCATTACATTAGTATTTCATTTTACTTTATTTCATTACTTGTGCACTGCTTTCTTGTCGTCTATTGTTACACTGTCTACTGTCACGCACCAACCACCAAGACAAATTCCTTGTATGTTTGACATACTGATTCCTGAAAACAGGTTGTACTGCCATTACAGCAATGCATGTTCAGTTCAATTCAATGCCTCAGAGGGCTTTACAGTCTGTACCAATGTGACATTCTCTGTCCCGAAACCATCACATCGGCAAGTGACCCTTTCAATTATCACGACAGGTAACGTCTTTCATCATCTCCACTGCTAACCCACGTTTTGAGGCCAGTAGGAGTACCTAACCATTCAACTCCGGCATTAGCTTGCTGAGAGACTGCCATTGAGTAGTAACTTGTGAACAGAGAAGGCTACAGACAAATATTTTATTAGGGTGCAGTTGTTACTGTTGAAAAAGAGGTAGTGTAGGTGGAAGTTACCCATAATTATACATTTGTATGCTGACTAACACACTTCCAGTCAAATTTACGCTTTGCATGGGTAATAATTACTACCATCCAAAATTCGTTTTTACAGTGCAGAATTATCAGTGATATCACCTGATGATGTATTTCATGCACTTACACACATTGTTTTATAGTAACATATTTCTCATGTGCAGCCTGGTTAAGTTGTCAACGTGTGTGTGTTATTATAATTCCAAAGTGATTCACGAATCTGTGTTTATAAAACACCGTCTGACGCCAAAGCTTGGAAGTGCAGGAGGAAGAGCTCTCACTGTTCGATGAGGAGGACTCATAGTTGTTGTTGGAGGAGGTGCAGGAAGATTGACGAACATTGTAAAGTAAAAAGGGTTGCGGACAAGAAGGAGCAATAATCCTTACGTTTCCTCCTCCTCTCCTCCTCTCCTGATATTTTACCCTCACTCCTCCCCCTCCTTCTCCCTTCTCCGTACATCTCCTGTTTTACCTCCTCCCCCTCTTCTACCCTGCTCTCTCTTCTCCCTTGAGGAATCACACTCTTCTTGTTTTCCCCCCTCCCCTCTCTTCATATTTCACCATGGATTATTTATCCCCCCACCACTCTTCCTTTCTGAAACTGAGGAGGGGCTGGTAAAACCATGGGAGGATGGATGGGGTACAGGGAAGGAGGGAAGGAAGGAGAAAAGAACGGGAGAAGGATGGATCAATTCCTCTACGATGGATTGATGAAATGGGGTGGAGGAGGGCACTGACTTCTGCAGCCTCTTAGAAAAGAGAATTTGCAATATTACAGACTGTCACGTCCTGCATGCACGTAACCCTGTGCAATCTGACCAGCAGCTAAACACCTTCCACCATCAAACACAATTTAAATAATATAACCCATGTTCTTTATCCAAATAAACACAAATATACCTACATGTAGCACAACCCATGATAACAGAGGTGAACCGGCCCACTAAAGCACATTCTCAACCCAATATGCACATCAAACTTACTGACAATACTTAACAAATATACAAGAACAGTATGTCTGCATCTATTTTACATACCGAGAATGCTGCCAAAGGCATGGAGCGTGGAAGATTGACGTGGATAGCATGGAGAGATAACACAAAACGTGAGGCTGTCTTGATCATATTCAACTTCCTGACTAAATCCCATGGTGCAACAGTCCCAGGGTTCTTAAAGGAACACACGCATGTAAAACGACTACTGCCAGCAATGAGAGAAAAACAAAACATTTAAGTGAACTAATGTGCTGATGGGGACAGAACACTCCCCGCCTGGTATCTATAGATAACACCCATACACTTAACTCCTGAAGAACAGTGTTTGAAAGTCACTACTGGCTCTTGTAGTCTTCTTCAGAGAGAAGGAGGACTAAGTCAGTGACAGGCCTAAGGAAGAGCTTGGTTCCATTTTGTTTGGAGATTTTGATCTCTACGCTGCAGACCTTCCTATCTTTGCTTGGGAATACCTTAGTGACCAATGCCATTGGCCATTCATTCCTTTCGGCTTGGGAGTCTTTCACGAGGACAATACTTCCAGCATAAATGTTCGCCTTGCTGGAATGCCATCTACTCCAAGTCTGCAATGTAGAAAGGTACTGCTTTCTCCATTTGTTCCAGAAAACATCTGCAAGGACTTGAACCTGACGCCAGTGCCGCTTATAGAGATCCTTAGTGTCAAACTGACCAGAAGGAGCAGGGAAAGGGCCCACCTTCTGCGTGAGAATAGTAGAAGGGGTGAGTATCATTGGATCTGCAGGATCGACGGATATCGGTGTCTAGCGTTTATGATGGCTGCTACTTCTGCCAGAAGAGTTGCGAGAGTCTCGTGAGTGAGCTTTGAGGATCTTTCCTGCTGGAACATGGAATCCATGATTCTATGCCTATCATCCTCTCCCATATGCCGCCCATGTGAGAGGAGTGAGGTGGGTTAAATGTCCATGTGCAGCCCTGCTCAGCTAGGTACCTCGTCACACGGAAACTGTCTATGTTTGATGGAACCTTGAGCTCCTTACAAGCCCCGATGAAATTGGTCCCTCTATCCGAGCGGATGGAAATGAACCGTCTGAGGGCATTTACGAAGCTTGTAGTATCCAAAGACTCAATGACCTCAAAGTGCACTGTCCTTATGCTCAGACAGGTAAAGATCACTGCCCAACGTTTGTTGTTAGAGTGGCCATCTCTTGTTTGCCGTGCGAGAACGGACCAGGGCCCAAACACGTCCAAACCAACATTCGTGAAGGGCGGCTCAATGCTTGGAAATGGCCAACTTACCTGCAGATAGGCTTATCTGCAGGTAAGTTGGCCAATTTCTGGGAGAGAAATGTGCCACGGAGTTTGCGGCATGTGACATACTTGTAGATGACGCTGCTTACGTGTCTTCGAATTCCAACAATCCACAGGCCAGCAGTGCGAATAGCACTGCAAAAAGGCACCCTTGATGACGTGTCTGTTCATGGTAGTGACGCACAAGTAACCTTGTGATGTGGAGGTTACCATGAATTATTATGGTGTTCTTTTCATCGCTTTCCAATTCTGCCTCTGTGATCCGGCCTCCAACTCTCAATAAGCCATTATTATCGATGAATGGATCCAGTTTCTTAAGAGTGCTATTTTTGGGGATTTCTTCCTGGCATTCGAGCTCTGCGGCATAGCTTTCCTGCTGCACTGTACGAATAACGAGATCTTTGGATTTAGAGAGCTCCTCCACTGTGTATGCCGTCTGGCAGTAATTGCAGCCTTTGCATTTACTTGGTCCTAGTGCTGATGTTTTCTTGAAGAGTCGAGCCACGGGGATCAAGCAAGTAACAGCACGAGTCAATGACCTCCAGCTTGAAAACTTCTCGATGCGTTGTGATCCAAGTTGGGCGTTTGAGGCAGCGGTGCTCAGAGTAGACACTTGAGGTCGAACTTCTGGATTCAATTTTGGATCTGCAACTTCAAAGATATCCTCCTCAGGAAGACTAGGTTTGTGGTTTCTCAAAAAGGATGGCCATGTCAGCCATGTGGTGTCCTTTAATTGAGCTGCGGGGACGGCTCTCATTGCATAATCTGCTGGGTTGAGCTTGGTGGGGACATGGTGCCACTGTTCAGGTCGTGTTTATCTTCGTATGCGCTGTACTCTATTGCTTACATAGACGTAGAACCGTCTAGTCTCATTGTAGATGTAACCTAACACGACCTTGCTGTCTGTGTAGAAATGTGTGGCATCCAGGTCAACATTGATTTCTGAAGTGACGAGCTCAGCTAACTCCATTGCCAACACTGCTGCACACAGCTCCAGTCTCGGTATTGTATGTTCTGGTCGTGGAGCAAGTTTTGCCTTACCTAGAACAAACCCGGCATGGCGTTCTCCGTCAGCATCTGTAACTTTGATATAGGCAACTGCGGCTATTGCTTTGGTTGAAGCATCACAGAAGATACAAAGTACTTGCCGTTGCGCTTTGGAGAGGGAGACTGGTGCATATGTTCTTTCCATGCTGTCCACAGCTTCCCTTTATCAGGAGGTAATGGGGAGTCCCAGTCACCCACTTCCATGGGGAGCTCACGAAGGATAGCTTTTCCTTGGATGGTAACTGGAGCAACAAATCCCAGGGGATCATATAGACTGTTAACTGTAGACAGGACACCCCGGCGAGTGTATGGCTTATCTTCGTCTACAACCTGGAATGTAAACGTATCTGTCTCAAGCTCCCAAATGATTCCAAGGCTACGTTGCGTTGGCAACGTGTCTGTACCAAGCTCCAGATCCTTCAAGTTGTTTGCGTAGTCTTGGGAGGGAAAGGCTCTCATTACCTCACTGCTATTTGATGCGATCTTATGTAACCTGAGGTTCGAGCAGGCAAGTGTGTCTTGTGTTCTTTTGAGCAAGCTGATGGCAGGTTCTTCAGAGGGCAGTGACTTCAAGTCATCATCCACATAGAAATCACGATCTATGAACTGCTTGACATCCAACCCAAAGTCAGCCTCGCCATCCTGCGCTGAACGTTTAAGGCCGTAGATAGCAACAGCTGGAGAGGGGCTGTTGCCAAAAACATGCACTTTCTTGCGGTATTCAATGATGTCCTTGTGAAGGTCGTTGTCCTCAAACCAAAGGAATCTCAAGAAGTCCCTGTCCTTCTCTCTGACCAGAAAGGAGTGAAACATTTGCTGTATATCCGCTGTAACAGCGATTGGACTCTTTTCTGAAACAAATCAGGACTCCGAGAAGGCTGTTGTTAAGATCTGGACCTGTTAAAAGTACATCATTCAGCGAAACCCCTTCATATTGTGCGCTGGAATCGAATACCACCCAAATCTGACCTGGTTTCTTCGGGTGGTGCACGCCAAAGGTTGGGAGGTACCAACGTTCTTCTTCTTCCCTCAGAGGAGGAGCAATCTCTGCATGGTCGTTTTGGAATATTTTCTCCATGAATGAAAGGAAATGGTCTCTCATTTCTGGTTTCCTGCCGAAGTTGCGCCTGAGTGCAGAGAGCCGTTTCAGTGCCTGTGCTCGATTGTTGGGAAGGCGGCCCTCTCTGTGACTTGAAGGGGAGGGGCGCTACCCAGTTTTTAGCATCATCCTTTTGAAGTCCTTGTTCCATTATCTTTAGGAAGGCCTTGTCTTCAATTGTTTTTCGTCCTCTGGAATACCGTACAACCGAGGTGATTTTCCTCTTTGTCACAGTCGGTATCATCTCTGAGGTATCCCGTGATGAGGTCTTTTGACAGAGAGTCTGATGGGGACAGAACACAGACCCCTCCCCTTCCCTGGTGAAATGCATGATGGGAAGGTTTGGCGACGTGCAATGAAGAGGATGTCAGAGAGCCGAAAACAGGTTGGGTAGTACTCGGGTGAATGAGTAGCTCTACTGACCAAATGGAACAACAATGCTGCATGCCGTCAGTGCTAAACGTATCGACATAGAAAAACCACGAGCCTCTTATCTGTCAGAAGCAAGGGAAACGTCACAACCATTCCACACATTCTTGGTCAGTACCTTACTCGATGACTCGGACTGATTGGAGTCAGCCAGGGTTGCTTTTGAATGAAATTGGTCTCGGTGTTGTGTTTTCGGGGTTAGGGGTTAGGGTGTAAAGTGAAGGGGACGATGGACTGGCTCTCGTCTGTTCTGCTTCTCACTCTGAACTTTACATGTGAGAACCTTTCGGGGTACTCTCTCCTGTCCGCAAGTATCTCTGGTGTCTGCAGCGAGAACCGTGTGCTGTCAGTCATTTGGTGGCATGGCTCTGATCTCCCTCTCAGGAATCTCATTACCGGGTATCTGGTTGACTGACAGCAGAAAAAGGTTTGAGGCCCCAAAGGGCCCCGAGCTGGATAAATGTTAAATGTATGAATTGAAGTCAATAGAGAAATGGAGTGTACTTGAGTAAAACACAGAGCAGGATGACTTCCGTACACAAACTGATCCATTGAGACACTGTAGAAGGTGTCATTTGTGATAATAAATGTATTTATAAATCTGAAAAAAAAACAAGAAATTCTAATCAATATTAACGAGAAATAAGAGAATCAACTTTAATAAGATGAGGGCTCACAGGACTAGGAGCTAGCTGATTAGTTGACACTGGGCTGGCCTTGGATTGGTCCAGTTAATACATTACATGTGTTTTAGCTGACGCTTTTCTCCAAAGCGACTTACAATAAGTGCATTTCAACCATAAGGACACAAACCCAGAAGAACAAGAAACAAGAAAGTGCAATTTCCACAAATAAGCCAATGTGCAACTTGCTGTAGATAAGAACCATTATAAGTCCAATGTAAGTGCTGCAGTTAGTTAGTGTTTTAGTGGAGGTAGAGTCTGAAGAGGTGTGTCTTTAGTCTGAAGATTGTGAAGGCTCTCTGTGGTCTTGATGTCTTCAGAGACCTCCTTCCACCATTTAGGAGCAGGACAGCAAAGAGTGGAGATCTAGTCCAGTGTTTTGCTCTCAGTGAGGAGGAACAAGCAGTCTATCACATGCAGAGCGGAGAGTGCGGGTCGGTATGTCGGGTTGGACCAGGTCCTGGATGTAAGCTGGACCCCATCCATTCACAACATGGTACGTGAGCACCATGTTTAGAACTGGATGAATCACCGGTACCAGTGAAGAGAGCGGAGGAGTGGAGGAGTGAGGGAGAACTTAGGAAGGTTAAAGACCAGTGGAGCTGCTGCATTCTGGATGAGCTGCAGAGGTGGAATGGTGGTAGCAGGAGACCTGCAGGAGAGAGTTACAGTAGTCCAGGAGGGAGATGACAAGAGCCTGAATCAGTACCTGTGCTGCCTTCTGAGTGAGAAGAGGACGTGTTCTCCTGATGTTGTAGAGCGTGTATTGTGTTCACTTGTAGACGGGCCTCTGTGTCTGTGTCTGTGTGTGTGAGTAAGCAAGTGTCTGTCTGTATGTTGGTTTGAGTGCATATGTGTGTGTGTGCGTGTGTGTGTGTCTGAGGAAGTATATGTGTGTCTGACAGCAGTGATTGACAGCTGACATTAAGTTGTTCAGCATTAAAATGTCAAAGTCGCTCACTTTGAACTAGTCTATTGGCTGTCAGATCAAATCATAATAATAAACAATAATAATAAATAATAATAAACACTAAAGACTCTTTGATACAATCAATGCAGTTCTTTACAAATTCTGCAGATTATAGCGATTATAGTGAAGCCTCATCCCTTAATTTACTTAGTGCATGATGGGAAATATAGGATCCTTTATTTTTGGACCATATTTTTGGACCATATTTTTGGACCATATTTTTGAACGGCTTTACCTCTGCTCCTTTGACCTCCCAATTCTGTGTCAGTGTGTTTCTATGCATGTGTGTGTGTGGGGGGTGTTTGTGTTAGTCATAACACCTTCAAACTAGCACTATTTCCAACCATTCACTGACTTTATTGACTTAATTAGCAGGAAACCCGTCCAGTATTTGGTCATAATTAGACTGACAGGCGTTCGAACAAACACACACACTCACACAAACACTGCTATTAGATTTCCACTCTCCCCATGTTCAGGTGAACACAGCTTTTTATATATCTGATATTTATGCACTCTGTCCACGATGCACGAGGTCATCAGGTCTCAGACTCTGTGGACTGAAAGCCGTTTCAGTTTTATATCGTATTTTCCTGCCTCTCATTTCCCTGGTTTAGCTTCACTTCCTCCCCTGGTCAGTTTTTCTGTCCCTTGTATTCTCCAGCCTTGTTGTGTCTAAAACCCTGCACATTCCCAGTGTATTTAGGCGGCATGTGTCCTTTGTCCCATGTTGGTTCGTCTGTTATCTGGACACCATGTTTTTCCTGTGTATTTCCTGGCCTTGTGCCTGCTTCTGTCCATGCATCAATTTGATTACAAGTTATTTTTGCTTAGAAACCTCGGTTCTAGCCCCTTCTGTTGCGATCCTGACATGGTGACGACACGTTTAGAACACATTTAGAACCAGACGTGAACATGCTTAGAACACGCTTTGAACACAATGCGAACATGTTGAGGACACACAGCCGTCTGACTTATCTAGTCTCCAATTACAGCAGAGGTCAAAGGTTGAGACGAATTAATCATAATTATCAAGAACAGATGAATGAGTGTGTGTGTGTGTGTGTGTGTGTGCGTGCGTGTGTCTGTTCAGTCAGCTGTGAGGACTAATGGAGCTGCACGGACAGAAAGGAGCTTTTGACGTTTTTTTGTCATTTTTTTGTCACTATCAAACAGAACTGCAGGATTCAGCTTAAAGATCTCTAACCTCTCAGTGTGTTTGTCTGTGTGTCTATGTGCGTGTGTGTGTGTGTGTGTGCGTGTGTGTGTGTGTGTGTGTGTGTGTGTTAGAGAGTGTGGTATGTGTGTGTTTAGTTTGTGTCTTTGTGACTTTTTACTTCCATTCTTCCTTGTTATGAATGTGTAATATATAGAAATATATTTCCTCCTCGTAAATATGTGCAGGAATAATAGGTAGGTAGGAAGGAGAAATCCAGTGTGTGTGTGTGTGTGTAAGTTTAGCCGGTCCTCGTTCTTATCACATAACAAATTGAACACTTAATCTGTCCGACGTGTAGATTTATGAGGTTGATCGTTTGGAGGAGGAGAAAATAAATACAGAGGAGAGGAAGCAGGAAACAAGGGATAAAACCAAAAGAGGGAGGAAACAAAGGAGAAGACGTCGGAAAGAAGAAGCGAGGAATAATCAAGGGAAGGCAGGAAACAAATAAGGTGCTGAAAGGAGACAAGGTGGAAAAAACTAAGACGAAAGAAGAAAATAAAGGAGGAGAGAAGAGGGGAGAAGGAGGAGACGACAATAGGAAAGTGTCGATAACTTTTTGCCTGAAGATAGGCTGCAGATTTTCAGTGGTTAACAATAAAATTCAGAGGTCATAGATTTTTCTAAAAACAAGTCGAAAAACATGAATGAACTTTGGTTGTGAGACTAAAAAGAGTCATTTTTGAAATGTTTAAAAAGTTCTGTCACAAATGTTTCTTTTAGAGTTGAATAATAATTACTTCATCTGTTCAGACATGAGAGTCTCAGCAAGAATCGTAGAATCTCGATTTGTATGAATAGCAGCTGTTGTGTGTTTTGGCATCAGCACTTTGTCCCTCTGCTCATTAGAGACCAGCAGCAAGGCATGCTGGGTAATCAATACTGCAGAGACACCATGGAAAGCATCGCTGGAGAGAGCCTTGTCTCTTTTGTCCTTCTGTGTATGTGTCTCTCTGCCTGTCTCAGTGTATTTGTGTGTGTGTGTCTGTGTGTTTACCGCCAGCTATCATTTTTGTGTACTTTGAATCTGCTAATGACTCCTGATTATCTTCTGTTTGTGTTCAGGTTCTTCCTGAAGTTCTTCTTAAAGTGTAACCAGAACTGTCTGAAGAACGCTGGGAACCCACGAGATATGAGGAGGTTCCAGGTAACACACACACACACGGATGAGTTCATCTCCCAAAAGGGCAGGACGTGGCTTTAGAGGACCTCCTGTACCCATAATGCAATGCAGCAGAGCAGCCAGAGGCTTATTGCTTTACAGAAATAATATGGGAGGTAGATGGGAAGCTGTGTGTGTGTGTGTGTGTGTGTGTGTGTGTGTGTGTGTGTGTGTGTGTGTATGTCTGTGTCTGTGTCTGTTTGTGTCTCCCTTTTTATATTCTTCTTCTTTAAAGTTACAACAAACTTAGAACAGAAACAAAGATATATATATATATATCTATAGTCACACACACCTCCTAGTTAAACCAGCAGAAGATAAGAGGAGGGTACAAAGCGCGGGGAGGATGTCGGTGCTAGAGGGACCAATCAGATTGGTGGGACAGGTGACGTCGGGGGAAGCCTCCAGACCTGTCTGTCGTTGTGTGCTGACAGCAACGTGAAGGATGTGCTGGTTAGTCACCGTGGCAACGGAGAGGACACCTCTACTCGCTCTCTGTGCGACCTTCTGCTCTGTTGCCATGGATCAACGGCAACAACCTTACCAAGCAGAAAGATGGATGTGATTTCACAGAGAGACGGGGCTAAAGCTCCGTGACGGATTGAAACATGCTTAAGTTCATTCAAATTATTTGAAATGTTTCAAAATGTATTTTCGTTATTTGAAACACTATGATTCGACATTAACTAATACAAATTTCTTGAATTTTCTCTGTGTGTGCAGGTGGTCGTTTCTACGACAGTAAACGTTGATGGTCACGTCCTTGCCGTCTCCGATAACATGTTCGTACACAACAACTCCAAACATGGCCGCCGAGCCCGGAGACTGGACCCGTCTGAAGGTACGGAGCTTTGTTCACGTGGGAGAGAACCAGAACACGACGGAACAACATGGCTTTTTTAGAATTCTGTGTTATTACCCTAAACCTAAAAGAAAGTCAGCGAGAGTCCTTTAAACAATCTTGTCTCGGAGACGATGTGAAGAATACACAGTGAGGTCAAATAAATACTGTGAACTTATACAGGTGACATGTCTATGTAATATTACATTACATGCCATTTAGTTTCTTTCATTGCATTTTGACTCATCCCACACAGTGGGAGCAGTGTGCTGCCGTGAGGGCCCCAGTTAGGGGTTGTGTGTCTTGCTCAGGGACACTTCGACATGGGACGTGGGACACGGAGCAGCCAGGGTCCGAACCGTAACCTTGCGGTTCCCGGCACACCCGCTCTACTCAATGCGCCATGATAGCAATAATATACTCACTTTACCTTCATGTCTGAAGCCATAACCAAGAGGGTTAAGGTAACTACTGCTAGGTTGGTGCAATAGTGACCCAGCGGTTGAGTTATAAAACAACCCAAATTGGGTTATTTTTAACCCAACCTTTTTTAGTGTGTAAAGCGGACTGAGTGGAGAATTCTGACGAACTCCAGAGTTCATAATTTATCTGAGACCAGAGAAACCTGATTGGATGTAACAGAGTTTAGAGTTGTATTCGTCTCACGTGCTCTGTTTGCACTAAATGAAGTTTCCTTAAAGTGGAAGGTGATACACCAGCTAACATGCTAATATATAGCTAAAGGCCCGGTCAGTGAAACAATTGGAGCAGTGCTCTTCTTCAATGGTCATTGTGTCCAGTCAAGTATATAGACAACGTCTATGGTGAATATCTTCAAAAAATCAATCAATCACAGTGTACAAATGCGCCTAACTAGATTTTCCGCCGTTTGGAATTTGGTAAAGAGTTTTTTCTAACTCCTCCCAGGTGCTGAGTCTGATTCTCACGAAATTTTCTGAGGGAGAAAAGGACACCGGGTTTAAATGCTAGTGTCCTCACCATACAGAGACATATCCAGAATATATATCTCTGAGACCTCTACTAAACCAGAAAGTATTTCACATGTTAATTCCAAAAGCCGGTTGAGAATTCTTCCTCAGTTCTCTGTGTTCAGCTTCCGCTCACAAAGTCGCCGAAACAGGCTTCTCTTAAATGTATAGAGTTGATCATAAATAATTTGAGGAATTTTTGAAAACATCACAGTACAGCAAGGACCTTGGCAGAGTCGTAAGATCTGTCGTTATTGAGTGACAAGACTGGCATCCCATCCTGGACTAAAGTTTTTTTTTCAAATATATATTTTTCAATTCTTTTTATTTTCCGACTGCGTATCCAGCTGTCCCCCCACTCTACATGCAAGGGGAGGCGAAGGTCTGTTCATCGCTGCTACAAGCTTTATTTTTATATTATAATTATATGTTATGGTCATTAAACATATAAAAGTGATCAAAAGCTGTAGTAAGCTAGGGTTGTTTTCTGCAGCAGTATAACTTTGTGATTGACCATATGTCCACAATCTATATTCATATGTATAGGATGCGTTAATTGATCCTAGATATTTAATTTATCAAAACATCTAGAGAAGCTGAACAGAAACAAAGTAACAAGGAGGAAGGGGAGCGTAATTCCCTCTGAAGAGAAGTCATCCCAATGGATTGTGGGTAGGAAGAGCAGACACCTCACTGTCCCCAGAGAGGACGGAGTGTGTGTGTGTGTGTGTGTGTGTGTGTGTGTGTGTGTGTATGTCTTTTTGCAGGCCATTCAGCCTCTTTAATTGCTCCACTAATTAAAGACAGTAACCATGGATACCAACCCTCCCAATCAGGGTAGTGTCTCTTGGGTGGGAACTCTCTTTCATATTTTGTGTTCTCCTTCTTACTCTTCTTCTTCTCATTTTTTCTTCTTCTCCTTTAACCAACTCAAATAATTTGAAGACTTCTTTTGTCAATATAATCATATAAATGGTTTGACATTAATCTGGTTGTGTTAACAGCCCATACACTGACACAATCATTTGGAAACATTTACATGTTTTTTGTTTGTGAGACACGCTATGTGATGCCGCATCATGAATTCACTGTTGAGTTAAAACTACGTCAATGGAAGAATACTCACCTGTCTTGACTCTGACTCACCTATTTTGAGTGACTCATTTGGCGTGACTGTGGACTCACCTTTCTTAAATCTGACTTACCTGTCTTCAGCATCAGAAACATTTATTTGTCTCGTATGTTGGACATACAAGGAAATTCTTGTGATGGGTGGTGCATACATGAAAGCAGATAGAAATACTATACACAATGTATTTGAAAGTGTCCAAATTTGTTTTAAACAGAGTCAGTCAGTGGGGGACCAGCTATGTTGATGAGACCGACTGCCAACGAGAAGAAACTGTTTGTGTGGCGGGAGATCTTAGTCCTGATGGACCTCAGCCTCCTGCCACATAGAAGGGGCATGAACAGTTGTTGTCCGGGGTGAGAGGGGTCGGCTACCATCTTTTTAGCTGCTTCAGAGACCTGGAAGCGAACAAGTCCTGCAGGGACGGCAGATTGCAGCTGATCACCCTCTCTGCAGAGCGGAGGACACGCTGCAGCCTGCCCTTTTTTGGCATGTTGAATTTCTTCAACTGCCTCAGGAAGAACAACCTCTGCTGAGCCCTCTTGGTGATGGAGCTGATGTTCAGCTCCCACTTGAGGTCCTGGGTGATGATGGAGCCCAGGAAACAGAAGGAGTCCATAGTGGTGACGGGGGAGTCAAATGGAGTGATGGAGGCCGATGGGGTACATTCTTCCTGAAATCCACAATCATCTCCACCGTCTTCAGAGCGTTGAGCTTCAACTGGTTTTGACTGCACCTGTATCTTGACTATGGGCTCACCTGTCTTAACCCGGACACTTGTTTTGTCTCTACACTCACTTGTCTTGACTGTGGACCCTATCTTGACTCTGTATCAACTGTTTTGACTATGGACTCACCTGCCATGACTCGAAGCCTCTGCTCTAATGTCAGTGTGATAAAACAGAAGAAGTGTGAAGTAGAACAGAGGTCAGGTGCTGTAATGTCATCGAAAGTCTGTGATGAGATTTAGTTCTCAGTCTCGCTCTCTCTCACACACACACACACACACACACACACACACTCTGCTTTCATTTCACTTTATAATTAATCTGCTCCCGCACTTGAAAGGACGGAAAGTAGTGATTACCAGCTGAGTGTGTGTGTGTGTGTTTGAATAGACTAAGCTAAAGCAGATAATAGTCAAGTCCCAATTAAATCACATTGTGACTGTGTGTGTTTGTGTGTGTGTGTAAAGTTCTTCCCAGGCTTTGCGTCAGGACCCTCACGCCGGTCACAAGCTGTCTCTGTCTAAACGTATAGTTCAACAATAAAATGTTTCCAAACGTGGAGCTTTATAGATGCTAACGTTTCTTTTTTTCTCTCCCTCTGTGTCCCTATCCATCTCTCTGTCTGTCTGTCTGTCTATCTCTGTCTCTCTGTCTGTCTGTCGGTCCCCCATCCAGCAGCCACTCCCTGTATCAAAGCCATTAGTCCCAGTGAAGGATGGACGACAGGTGGAGCGACCGTCATCCTGATTGGAGACAACTTCTTTGATGGCCTACAAGTTGTCTTTGGCACCATGCTGGTGTGGAGTGAGGTCTGTTTCACTATTTGGGATTCACTCTTTGTGACTCTTTTGGGTCACTCTCTGTGTCTCTCTGTGTTTCACCCTCTTTGTCTCTCGCTCTCTGGCCCTCATACATACATTTGCAAACGTAGCGTTATCAGCGCCACGGGCAACCCGCAGAAAGCACGAGCTGTGATACTTCACTTTACCTCGTATTTACGAAACCTGCAGTGCATCGGGTAATTAGCGCAATTGAATGGACCTTCCTCTCTCTTTCTATCATGGATCAGCCAAAGTCAAAACAGCAAAAACATTCAGTGACAACGAAGTTGGTGTGTTATTTCGGCAGCAGTGGTGGGAAATGTGTGTATTAACTAGTGCGCTGCAGCAAAGTGTTGTGTACTTGTGCTGTGATACGGCTGAGTGCAGACTGAGATATTCCCACTGCTGATGCTGTGACTGTTTGAAATGATCCTGATCGAATAATTGTAAGGTAGTGAGGAGTTTAACACCTGCTAGAATGGAATGTGGACGCTGAGTACATGAGGCCCTCTGTCTCTCAGTCTCTCTTTGTGTCATTCCTCTAGCTGATCACTCCACACGCTATCCGGGTACAGACTCCTCCTCGTCACATCCCCGGTGTTGTCGAGGTAACACTGTCCTACAAGTCCAAGCAATTCTGTAAAGGAGCACCTGGACGATTTGTTTACACAGGTAATACACAAAAAAAGCCATTACACTGGAAAGACATGATTAATGATTTATTTAAACAGGTAACATACTAAGAATTCATTACGAATTGGAAAACATTAATGATTTATAAATACAAGTAACCCATTCATGATTCATTTACATAGTTGATACATATATACATGCATATGTCAATTGAGCCTTTTAAGACACCAGAAACAACACAGTGAAGAGGGGTTCTGGTTTGACCCATGAATAATCTTAAGAGGACACACAGGTGATTATAAAATGTCTAAAAGTCAACACCAGAAGGTCACACACGCACAGACACACACAAACACACAGGGCGAGCGGTAACACAGACATCTGGAGAGTTAAAACACTCGTTTAACTGCTGCTTGTTACGCCCTGTAGGCCTCCAAGGACTAAACACACGCACACACGCACACACACACACACACACACACACACACACACACACACACACACACACACACACACTGTTTGCTTGATAGAGGAGTCAGTCTGAAGCTTGTTAAACGCAGCTGAACCAAGACAGGATTATGATTAATTCACTTTACACACTCACACACACACACTCACTGGGCTCTGCTGCCTCACTGGCGCTCAGATTTATCATCTCTGTTCCACTTTAAGCTGTAAAGGATGTTGGAGGAGGAACAAGGAGAAAACACTCACCAGTCTCACTAGTGTGAAGCGGAGGGACTCAAACTGCTCCATCAATTAACAACAGGCTCAGGGGATGTTGCTTCGCTCAGGATCTTTACCACACTCTTAATGACCATAACATCTAGTGCAGAGCTTTACAACTCTCACGCTCTTACACTATAAGAGATTTTTATTCAAATACTTGTTTTGTTTCCCTGCTCTTCCTCAGCTCTCAATGAGCCCACCATCGATTATGGCTTCCAGAGGTTACAGAAAGTCATTCCTCGTCACCCCGGAGACCCAGAGAGGCTGCCTAAGGTACCACACACAAACACACGCACACACACGCAAACACACACAGAAAACACTTGTTTCGTACAAACACAGACAGAATAACTGATTATTGTTGGTGTTTTTCATCAGTCTGCGTTCTGGTTGGCTGCTCAGAGTCCTGATAAAATCAGCTTCTGTTTCTACTGTGTGTGTGTGTGTGTGTGTGTTTGTGGAAGTCTTTAACACACACATTGTGTATCTTAACAGACACACACAGTATCTTGTAGTCGTATTTGTATTTCTAATTTATCATGTGAAAATTTGTAAGATTTGATAATAGTCTGTTTGTTAGTTTCTTTTCTCAATGAATGTTGACGTCCTGTTTGCTGCTTGCTCTGAAAAGCAGTTTAGTTATTTAGGTAGTTAGTTTGTTAGTGATTTATTAGTTGGTAATAGTTTTGTTAGGTGGGTATGTAAGTTGGTAGGTAGTTATTGAGTTAGTTAATTAGTCAATTATGTATTTTAATTGGGTAGTTAGTTCTGTAGATAAGTATGGTGGCAGTTAATGATGTAGATAGTTAGTTAGTTATTTTATATTAGCTAGTGTGTTAGGTAGATATGAAAGTTGAGAGGTAGTTGATTAGGTAGTTGAATAGTAAGTGAGGTAATATTAGTTAGATAGGTAGGTAATACATTATTTAGTTAGTGAGCTAACGTGTTAGGTAGGTACATCTATAGTTAGTTAAATATTTGGTAAGTTAGGTAATATATTATTGGTTAGGTAGATAGTGTGGTGGAAGATTTTGCACAGACAATCGTTAAGTAAGAAACAAAGGCTCTGAGTCAAGTATGTCTTTTCTCCGTTTATTTCCTTGCAAGGGAAAAAGGGTCACAACAGCTACGTGGTCAGTAGACTGTCAAGAATCTCCTTTTCCCCCCAACACATTGAGGCAGTTCTTATACCTAAGTTTAGATATCGGTGGCGTCAACAGAAACCTTTGACCATCTTGTTGAGTATCTACAGCCAGGGTACTGGGAACATCTTGTCCATGTAAGACACGTCAGTTCTTTGACCGTGTCCTTGCTCTCCCAACATGCTAAAACAAAGGTGGTCATAGACATAACAAACACTTTGTTCAATCTCTACAGCTATGACGCTGGAAACATCTAATCCAAGTGGGAGACATCAGTTCTTATGTCAGGGCATTTGTGATCTAACCACTTGCAACTAATAAACTGGTTATACAAATGAAGCATTTAAAAGGGTCACATATAATTTTCCCATTACAATAGTTAATGTGTTTGTTAGTTAGTTAGTCCAGTTCACACCCCATTGAGCTGCTTCTTTTTCACCAAAAAGCTGTGTTGGGGTTGAGGTATTAAGACATATGTCTCATGATGTTACTACTTGTCCCTGGAGATATCTGTTGTGATGAGGGCTGACGTGCTGTTACCTCTGCAATAAAATTCACATCCACCATGTCTTTAACAATTCATCTGTATGCTTGATCTTAGTGTATTTATTCTAGTAACCACATTTTGCGACCTGAACCTCTGATAACAGGAAGTATTCTGATGAACAAGGTCTGTTGATCACGGAAGGACTCGCATGTATGAAGGTCTAGTTGATGATCAGGGTCCACATGAGATCCTGGTTTCTTAAATCCAGAGATATAAGGGACTAGATATGAGCTCATGACGCATCTGACCTGTTATTGATCCACTCTGACGAGCAGAAGGTCCATCAGTAACAGGAAGTGACCTCAATGGCCGCTCCTCAATTTGGAGTAAATGAGAATCATCAGGGAATGAGTTATAGTATAAAGAAATAAGGAAAAACAAAGGTGTTTGTTTGCATTCTCTGTGTGTGTGTGTGTGTGTGTGTGTGTGTGTGTGTGTGTGTTTGCATGTGTCTGTGTGTGTGTGTGTGTGTGTGTGTGTGTAAAGCCCATTGGCAAACAGGGAGGTTGAAACAGTCAAATCAGGTAATCAACGAGTGCAGCCATGTGGCAAGAAAGGGGATTGGCACACGCGCGCGCGCACACACACACACACACACACAAACACACAATTATCTGTTATCAGATTCATAGAGAAATAACTTACTTCTGTTCTTGCTGTTTCAGTCATTATGTCTAAAAGCTTCACTTTCTCTTCCTAGTAGTATGATAAAGAGATATGAATAATAAACATGTTCAAACATAACTGTTAAAGTAAAGTCAAGTATTCCGTGCTCAGAACATTTGATTTGTCGAGTTTCACGGCTCAGGTGAAGTCCTCATAATTTAAAACTGTCAACACAATCAAATATGTATTGGTCAGCACATAAAGGATTCTCCTACGATAATTATGACAATGAAAGGACAAAGAGGAACATCCAGGACATGAGTCATAAGATATAAGACATGAGATATTTCTTACTAATAATACAGAAAACAATACGTATTAGACAATTTTAAACAATAATGCAAACAAACCTACAATACCTGCGTTGTCTAAGTAATACACATTAACAATTGGCAAAATACTATGAATTACTTTAATTAAAACAATCAATATAATACATTTAGGTAATGGTTTTCGAAATATATACATTAGGGCTGTCAATAGATTAAAATATATATTCTGCTTCTGAAGACTAAGTCTTTTCTAAATCACTTTAGAAAAGTGTGTATTTTAGATACACTGTTGAGAATTGTTGGTGATCATGGAGATCTTGGAGGTGGAGCATGTTGTGAGTATTATTGCTGTCATAATAACTGCAATAACAATTATTTCTTTCTCTAATTATTTTTCATGCTTTTGTGTTTATAAAGGTTATTTTCACTCCACTGAGGTTAGAAAAGGAATCTGTGTGTGTATGTTGTGTTAGTGTGTGTTTGTCATGGCTTAACAGAATAATTGGTTTGCTCCTCAGCGATCGCATCCCAACCTCCAGCTCTATTGCCGTGGTAACCATGTTAATGCGTGTGTGTGTCAGAGAGAGACTGATGCTTTTACTGCGTGACAATGAAACACTCGTCATATTAATAATTCATCTGTCACTGTAAACACACTGTACACACACACTTTGTGCGTGTGTGTGTTTGAATAAATCTCTCACGCTGAGACAAACTTGGACATCGCTCTGCATAAACAAGAAGATTGTGGAGTTGCGTGAGCGTGTGTATCTTTGTGTGTGTGTGTGTGTGTGTGTGTGTGTGTGTGTGTGTGTGTGTGTGTGTGTGTGTGTGTGTGTGTGTCTAATTGCGATGAACTCGCAAAAAAGACAATTGATTTTGATAAAAGAAGAAAGAGAAACATTGAATAACAACAAAAGAGGTCTTGGACCCAAGGGTGGATGAAGGGTAGGATGGATGTGCGGGTGGAGCTATGAGGGGGCTGATGGAGTAATGAGGGGGCTGGTGGAACAAGGAGGGGCGGGTGGAGCAAAGAGGGTGCTGATGGAGTAATGAGGGGGCTGATGGAGTAATGAGGTGGCCGATGGAGCAATGAGGGAGTGGGTGGAGCAATGAGGGGGGCTGATGGAGCAATAGGGGTTTAATTTTAATTCATAAAGGTTTGTAATGAAAAGCAGCAGATTAACTGAGTGTGTTTAATTAAGATAAAGACATGCAGCATGTTCATTTACCTGTTTTCAACCCCCAGACCCACATCCAAACTAACCCAGACACACACGCACACACACACACGTTTTAGTCTGTGAGAGTGCACACTGGTGTATGTGTGTGCGCACACACTAAAGTGTAACTGGCCTATATTTAATACACACACAACCAGACATGTGTGTTTTTGTTGCTTTGCACTTTTTAAACTAAGGGAGAGAAATGTTCAGATGCTTCATGAACATATTTATTGGTGATAAATAAGTGAAAGTCGTTAAGGTCTTTGGCTCTCCTCCTCTCTCCCTTCTCCTAATCCCCCCCCCCCCCCCCGTATCCTCCTCTCTCTTCCTGTCTCCTCTCTCCTCATCTCTCTGCCTGCAGGAGGTGCTGCTGAAGAGAGCAGCCGACCTGGTTGAAGCTCTTTATGGGATGCCTCACAGCAACCAGGTGGGTTTGATACGCCTACCTTTCCATCTTTCCACCTGTCTTCCTCTCCACCTCACCTCTTCATTATACGATGGAACCGCAAAAGCTGATTTGACAGACAAAGTTCAGAGTTGAGTTCAGCCCTAAAATGAATATATATATATATATATATATATATGAGGGGGGCTGATGGATGCTCCATATATATATATATATATATATATATATAGTGTGTTTGTGTGTGCAAATATACTGCTTTTATTGTGGAAGTCGTAAACAAGAAGCTATTTCTGTAATAGAAGTGATTCCTTGCAAGTAACTTAACTAACGTAAGTAAATACAATAACTATTGTACCTACAGTAACTACTCTACACTGTACAGCACAGTGTGCGAAACTTCAAGCCTCTCCAGTCAAACAGCAAAGTTTACTATACGACAAACTATTTTACTGAATAGTGGTTGGATACCTGAAGTACTTCTTGCTCCACAGGAGATCATCCTGAAGCGAGCGGCAGACATCGCCGAAGCTCTCTACAATGTTCCCAGGAACCACAACCAGATCCCATCGCTTGGCAACAGCGCCTCCCATGGCATGATGGGAGTGAACTCTTTCAGCGGACAGCTGGCCGTCAATGTCTCTGACAGTACACAAGGTATGAGATCCAGGCCGAGTACTACCCATTCTAGCAGTATTACAGTACCACCGGTACTACTATTACTACCAATACTAGGGGGGGGTCGTCGTGGCGCAGGGGGTAGAGCGGGTGCGCCGGGAACCGCAATGTTGGTGGTTTGAGTCCCGGCTGCCACATGTCTTCAAGTCAAAGTGTCCCTGAGCAAGACACCTAACCCCTAATTGCTCCCTGGGCAAAAATGTAAAAAAGCCATTAATAATGTAATGTAAGTCGCTTTGGATAAAAGCGTCAGCCAAATTACCTGTAATGTGATGTAATGTACTAGCGGTGCAGTAATACTGTATTATCATCAAACACAAGCTGTCTCTTCCAGTTGGTTACAGTCGGAACACCAGCAGTGTGTCGCCTAGGGGATACATCCCAAGCTCCACCCCTCAACAGAGTAACTATGGCAACACTGTCAGCAACAGCATGAGCGGCTACGGCAACACCGGCATGCCAAACTTAGGAGTGGCAACGTCTCCTGGCTTCCTCAACGGGTCGTCCGCCAACTCTCCCTACGGCAGTAAGTATCAAGGTAAATAGTACTAGTAATACAATAACTGCTCTTACTACTGCTCTTACTACTATGAGCATTCTACTACTACTGCTGCTACTACTGCTGCTACTACTATTGCTAACAATACCAATGTCCGACTACAACTGGTACTGCAACCACTCCAAATATTGCTACTGCTACTACAACTACAACTGCTACTGCTAGTGTGACTTCTACTTCTACTGTCAGACTACCACTATTACTGCTACTACTAGTATAACTACCTATAAACCATAATATATAAAAGTGGAAATGAAAGACACCACACTGTTAATTAGCAAACACACTATATATATTTAGTAAAATACAATCCAATAAAATTTGAGAACTGTGCAGAGGAATTCCTCAACCTGTCAAACAGAAGGGGATGAGCACTGCTAGGCTAAGCTAGCTGCTAGATTACTTCCATCTCAACACCTACGCTGCGTGGCACACAGCACACATCCTGCTAAAAGACAGTCAAAGACAGCCGGCTAATGATAGAGAGTTGAGAGCAAAGTGCACGAGAACAACAGGAAGAGTCGCTAGTTGAACATGTTCCACCTCCATGAAGATCACACAGAGAGGAGTTTGTGTTTCAAATACAATTAAACAACAGTGTTTCAAATACATGCTTTCTAAAGCGATTATTCGTTGTGTATAAGATTGAGTCTTTAGAAGAAAAATAAACTTTTAATCGCAATAAATCCGAACAGGCAAATAAATAACGGGGCACCACCCTAAAATCGGATTTACAACCAAATTATTACACAATGTCCTAATTTCCAAATACAAACAACAAATACAAACATTCATACATGCATGTGGAAGGGGAGGAGTGTGTGTGTGTGGGTTAATGTGTGTGCCTGTGAGGTAAAGACCACATGTCAGGCAACATGGGGCTACGAACTGGCAGAGGTGTCTAGCTAAGAGGCTAGTTAGTAAATGATAAAACAAAAGAAAGAAGGAAAGACTCAAAGCAAAGCAAATTTCTGCTACCACAGTGAAACACGATAGTTTTAAACATAATCACAGTCAAGCAACTTGGAGACTGAATTCATGTGCTCTGAATAGATACAAGTTCCAAATAACCACAGGTTCAAATTAATTTCATTGGAATTGTATGTTATGGACCAACACAAAATAGTCCACCATCTGGAATTCGGGGGAAGTCTGCGTCTCTACTACTGGGCCTTCAGATATCCAGCCGACCTGAAATCGGACTAAGTATCTTTTCTTTAAACCAAGTTAGTCTACTAAATGACTGGACTGCCAGTTCTCGCTGTAGATTCTGCTATATTAGATTAAATTGACTGCTAGCGTGCCCTCGTATCTTTGCAAGGTTTGATCTGATCCAACTGTTTTGCTTTCTCTTCTGAAGCACTCTTCTGCAGCGAATGGGGGTTCTGTCACATAGCCTAACGGCTCACATTTTACTGTTATGATTCTTGGGGACCCAACAGTTGATCTTCCTCTAACACGTAATCCCGACCAAGGGGCGTCGAAGAAGCTTTCTTTCTCATTGAGCTGCTTAGGCCAGGGGGAGCAGGGAGAAAACATGGGTCTCCCTGATGAGAGTTATTTTGGGAAGCGTTGTGTTGAGAAGGCCTGACAGGAGGTGCTACTACTACTGCTATTGCTACTACTGATAGAACTACTACTGATACTGTAACTACTACTACTAATTCTAAAATTCAATTCATCAAGTGATCACACAGTACCTGCTTGTTTCCTGGTCTCTGTCTTCCCCCAGTTGTCCCGTCCAGTCCCACCATGGCGGTGTCCAATTGTAACTCTGCTCATGGAGTTTTCGCCTTCTCGGCTACCGTCAAACAAAAAAGCGCTTTCGCTCCCGTCGTCCGACCGACGTCTTCGCCTCCTCCAACCAACTGCTCCGGAAACAACTCCAATGGGCTGCAAGGTGACACTGCACCTCCTCCTTCTTCATAGTTATTCACCATCTCCTACTAATTGTACTTCTTGACCTCCTCTTCTTAGTGTATACATAGAAATGTAGACTAGAGGCCGTGTGCACACAGAAGTCTAGACTATATGCCGTGCAGATACAGACGGTTGTAAACCGTAAATGTGTGGCTATGTGTGTGTGTATGCGTGTGTGCGTCTGTGTTTGTGCGTGGGCTTGTGTGGTGTCACACTGAAATCAAACCATTGTTTTAAATGAAAGCGAAAAGAAAATGATACACATTTATAATCTGTCAATCATAAGCGTATATGCAGTGCAAGTACAGAAGTGTAGACTACTGTATTATTAACCCTACATTACTACATTCGTTCCATGTATAATATACTTTGGTTTGGTAATTCGATTAATAAATAAATATACAGAATATTATTAGGATTTAGTTTTGCAGGGTTTTTTTGAGGTGAAATTAGAAGAAACTTGATCACTTGATATTTTTTAATAGAGTGGATTATTTAAAGTTGATAACTGCAATTGCTACTACTGACGTATAATGGTAGGTATACTTTGCCTTCTTTGAAATAGCATCACAAACACACACGCACACACCTAGAGTATTGTTAGTATTGCATGGAGAGTGACAGACCAATCCATGTTTTATTCATTACAATCCACCAATACATCTTCTAAACGCACACTCACACACACACTTAGCAGTCAGTGTGATGTCAGTGTTTCTGACAGAGAGGTTTGTTGGGAGTTAAATATTAATTGCTCTCTGCTTTCGTTGAGGCAGAAAGGCCAGTGTGTCTGTTTGCGTATGTGTGTGTGTGTGTCAGTTGATCCACTCACAGTCGTCACATCATCACTTCAGATGAATGAATACACTTTGAGTGTTATTAATAGTTTTGAAGCTGCAGTAAACTAAACACAGGAAAATGGAACGTTCCAAAAGGCTCCATGTGAGGATATTCCTACATTTTTATCTTCAGAATAAACAACTTTAAAATCAATAATAAACTAACTAATAAACTAACCTTGGTGCTCAAACACTTCCTCATCTGTCTACAGGGGGCGCTAAAAAGAATGCTACTGTATTGACGTCATCATCTTTTTGCCTCTGTCCCTCTGACTGTCCGTGTCTCTTTCTATCTCTTGGTCTATTTCTATGTCTCTCTTTCTGTCTCTCTCTTTCCATCCGTCTGTGGGACGGTCTGGTTCTGTCTTTCTATATCTCTATCTGACTCGCTGTCCCTCTCTGTGTCTCTCTGTCTGACCCTCTTTGCGTGTGTCTCTATGTTTGCCTCTGGACTGTTGGACTGTCTGGCCGACAGTCCATCTGTAGCCAAATTATTTCCTTCAAAATCCATCTTGCTACTGGTAACACTATTACTACTATTTTGACGAGGAGTACTACCAGTACTACTACTATGTCTACTACATTACTTCTACTACTTCTTAAAGTACTTCATCAGAAGAAGTTTTACGATACTCATGTAGCAGTTATGTCTGTCTCCGTCTCTGCAGCGATGTCTGGCCTCGTCATTCCGCCGATGTAAAACTTCCTCCTCTTGGTTCCTCGTCCCTCCCCATCAGCCAAGAGCACCAATCATCTCAGAGGAGGTTGGGTCTCAGGTAGCATGCTGGAGTTCTGATGCTGTCCATCCAAGATATAAAAAAGAAGCTGCTGTTTCTGATTGGACGGAGAAGAAGATGAATAAAGAAATTGTCATGGACTTGACATTACACACTGTGTTTCAGTAAAAACTGTGAGGTCACACATATAAAGTGACATCACACCTGCTGATTGGTCCCCTGCTGAAGGGATCCAAACATGAGTACACTGAATATCTCTGAGAGACAAGGACGCAGAAGGCTGCCTACGTCCTCATCCCTCAGAAAGAGGACACTTCCTCTTCATCCAGAGCAGGAGGAGAGTGTTTTCTACTTAAACTCTGTCAGGGAACAAGGAAGTAGGTCAATGGCCAATCAGAATCAAGCATAGTAACCGAACTATGTTTCACCTAGGCTTACAAATTTGGGAGGGGGTTCCCTGCCTGGAAATAAAAATGATGGTGTTGTCAGTGTGACGCACACTCTCTGTCCGATGGTGGGCGCTCACAACAGCGTGCACGTGTCTGTTTGTGCCCCTCAGCACAGAACTCGGCCGTGCGCAGAGATTACTTGCTAATTGTAAACAGAAAAAAAAGAGACGTCGGGGAGCAGGGGTGCCGGTTGGAGGTTCACCCCCACCCTCCTATATAATAGTAGGGAAAACACGGGAAGGGGCTCCGTGGTCTGGTGGTTTTAACAGTGAACTCAGCACAGAGAGCACAGTGGGTGAATAAAAGGATTATGAATGAACCTTATAGTTGTGGTCAAAAGTTTACATACACTTGTAAAGAACACAATGTCGTGGCTCTCTGGAGTTTCCCGTTATTTCTACGAGTCCGACTTTTCTCTGATAGAGTGATTGGAACAGATACTTCTTTGTCACAAAAAACATTCATGAAGTTTGGTTCTTTTATGACTTTATTATGGGTTAACAGAAAAACAGAATCTGCTGGGTCAAATATACACACAGCAGTGCTAATATTTGGTGACATGTCCCTTGGCCATTTTCACTTCAATTAGGCGATTTTGGTAGCCATCCACAAGCTTCTGGCAGGCTTCTCGTGGAATCTTTGACCACTCATCTTGACAGAATTGGTGTGGTTCAGTTAAACTTGATGGTTTTCTGACATGGACTTGTTTCTTCAGCATTGTCCACATGTTCTCAATGGGATTTAAGTCAGAACTTTGGGGAGGCCATTCTAAAACCTTAATTCTAGCCTGATTTAGCCATTCTATTACCACTTTTGATGTGTGTTTGGGGTCATTGTCCTGCTGGATAACCCAACTGCGCCCAAGACCCAACCTTCGGGCTGATGATTTTAAGTTATGTTGGTAATCTCCCTTCTTCATTATCTCATTTACTCCCTGTAAAGGACCAGTTCATTGGCAGCAAAACAGCCCCACAGCATAATACTACCACCACCGTGCTTGACGGTAGGCATGGTGTTCTTGAGGTTAAAGGCCTCACCTTTTCTCGATTTTTGTTTCATCTGACCACAGAACTTTCCTCCAGAAGGTCTCATCTTTGTCCATGTGATCAGCAGCAAATATCAGTCGAGCCTTAAGGTGCCGCTTTTGGAGCAAGGGCTTCTTTCTTGCACGGTAGCCTATCAGTCCATGGATATGCAAAACACGCTTGACTGTGGACACTAACACCTGTGTTTCAGCAGCTTCGAATTCTTGGCAGATCTGCTTTTTGGTGGTTCTCGGTTGACTCTTCACCCTCCCAGCAGCAGGTGATAACATGCGTTTTCTTCCTGATTGTGGCAGTGACAAAACAGTGCCATGCACTTTATACTTACAAACAATTGTTTGCACTGTTGCTCTTGGGACCTGCAGCTGTTTTGAAATGGCTCCAAGTGACTTTCCTGACTTGTTCAAGGCAATGCTTCGCTTTTTCAGAACCATGCTGAGCTCCTTTGACTTTCCCGTTGTAGCGTTTGTGGGTGTTTGTATCCGATGAGCCCTATTTAAATGGCCTCAGAAGTCACCAGCTGTAGTCAATCATAACCACTCACAAGAAGCTAAGAGGCCATGAAGCTCATTTCATTGACACAACTTTCTAAGTCACCAAAATTGCTAATTCATGTTGCTGTATGTATATTTTTGATCCAGCAGATTTTGTCACTTTTTCTGTTAACTCATAATAAAATCTGAGAAAAATCAGAGATCTGGAAACTCAAGAGAGCCATGACATTATGTTCTTTACAAGTGTATGTAAACTTTTGACCACAAATGTATCTTTGCCCCCTCACTATTCCTGCCCCTTCTCCCTTTAGCCCCACCCCAGCCTGTCGGTGTTGTTTATTCATTCTTATTTTGTTCTCTTTTCAGTGTAAAAACAAGTCATGCATCCTGATAGGCTACTGTCTCTCTAAGTCTTCTTGTTCAGTGTTGTCTTTTTATTCTAGTTCCGCTTTCTTAAGTTCCGGCCCGAGTACTCAAAGCGCTCCCTCTTCTGTATTTTCGGTGTGGGTTTTGTGATTTTTGCCAAAGTTGTAACTGGCTGAATAGTTAAACGTCACTGTGGTTGTCTCCCCCCGAACCGCCAACATCCACCACCACAATCACAGATCTTTTTGTAACATACAGATTATAAATAGTGTATTTATATCTCAGACTGTTTTTGTATTAATTGATGTTGAGTCATGCTGTCTTCATGGGGTTGTAAACATGTGTGGGTATGTGTGTGTGTATGGGCGTGTGCGACTGTGTTTGTGTGTGGGCGTTTGGGTGTGTGGTGTCACACTGAAATCAAACCATTGTTTTTTATGAAATAGAAAAGAAAAAAGAAAAAGTTAAATTCCACACATTTATAATCTGTCAATCAAAGCCGTTCCACCTGTTTTAATGCGAACTTTGTTTTAATCACTGTTGGCTGTAATGAAAACAATAAACTTAGCGGGTCGCTCTGAAGACTGTGTCTCTTCTTTCTGGATGTCTATTATAACATAGATATAGATAACCTCCATAAAACGGTTGACTTCAGGAAGTGAAGATTTCTGGATATCTGAACAAAATAACTATGAATCCATCAGGGATGGGGCATTCTTCCCCAGGGACATTTGCACAGATTCTGTTTGTGGACTTCAGCTCTACGTTCAACACCATCATCGTGGCGTTACTTGAACCAAAACTCTTACTGCAGACCACACCCTAAAAGTAAACCGTTCAGAATCCTCCACTCTGTGGGGTGCTACAGAGCACTCTACGCCAAAACCACCAAGACTACCAGAACCACCTAAATTATTATTAATTAATATTATTATTGTAAGGAAATGTGCCGAGTTTTTTTTGAGGAAAAAGGGGGTGACGTGCCGCAGGGGTAGAGAGGGTGTGCAAGGTTGGTGGTTCGAGTCCCAGCTGCCCCATGTCCCATGTCGAAGTGTCCCTGAGCAAGACACCTAACTCATAATTGCTCCCCAGGCAAAAATGTAAAATGCCAAGGGTTAGAAATGTAATGTAAGTCACTTTGGATAAAGGCATCCGCTAAATAACCTGTAATTTAATGTAATGTAAAGAAAGTTACGCTACTGAAACCGACTAGCAGTTTGGTATGTTACAGAGAAGGAATATGATCAGTGTGATCAATATGAAATCGTCCTCATCTGTCGGAGTCTTCTCTACACTTTAATTAATATGATGAAACAAAGTTCAATTCACAGTTTAAACTTATTGTTAGACAGCTTATTGTCAGACAGCTTATTGTCAGACTTGACAACAACACATCATTTATGTTTCATATCTTCTCTTCACTTTCATCCTGTTTAAAATACAGTAGATGATTAAAACATGTTATATTGTGCTGAAGACAGAAAACATTAATGAACTTTTATGAAAGGCGTTCTCTTCTCTCAGCGGACACAAAAGCACAAACAGGATAACCTCAAACCTAATTATTACAGACTTGTATTTATTGAAAAATATGAAAACAGATTCAGTTTAATGCTGTTTAAGCATTCCAACTATTATCCTCTAAGCTTTATTCTTTTATTCTTTCTATTTCTTTCATACGTATTTCGATCTGCTTCTCCTCCTTCAAATTTTCAGCTATTAAAACCGTTCAAATATTGAATATTCAACTCCTTCAGGACTTTCCCTTCAGCTTTCTACTTCTTATGTTTAATGTAGGGGGGGGGGCAATACGGCCGATGGCGAGGGGTCTTCACTTGCCTGCCGTTGGCCGTTTCACGGACAGGCACCTGCGGGCAGTCTAGGCCACACTCTTAAAATTACTGCGGAATTTTTGAGTTGTTGGAATGCTGTTTCACCAGTCCAAGTATTGTTTTTCGAATATTTATGTGAACATCTTTTTCTTCTTCTTCTTCTATTTCTTCCGTGGCACCTTTAAACTCCTTCACACTTGTAGTTATTAAAATTGTTTGAATATTCAGCTCGGCCAGGAGAGGGGTCCTCTGACTATGGCTTTGTTTTTGTTCAGGTGCATCCTGTGGAACTCACACAATTCTCACAGCTCTGCATACAGCAGCTTTTCTAATATTATATTACAGGTCATTTTGCTGACACTTTTATCCAAAGCGACTGACATTACATATTGCTCGGGGGGAGAAATTAGGGATTAGGTATCTTGCTCAGGGACACTTCGACATGGGGCAGCGAACCACCAATCTTGTGGTTCCCAGCGCACCCTCTCTACCCCTGCATCACAACAACCCCATTTTATATATTCTAATGTTGTAAAGGAAACTGCTATTTTCTGCTACTTTATAATACTACACAAAGAATGTGCTCAGACGTGAGAGCATGTCCGCGATGGGAGACATTAGTTATATGAGAACGGGTGAGGTTATGTACATATTTGATGGGCTGTGAAGAAAAAAGTTACCGTTCAAACAAGTAGTTATCTGGAAATGACAATATATCTAATCGGAGCCTCAGCTTAACTCAGTTGACAACTCGTGTTGATGGTCAGTTTATGGTTTGAGTCAGTGTTTGTTAAACCTCCTTCTTGAAACGGACCCCAGGTGATGTTCACAGGCTCAGTTACCATGGTGACTGACCCTGAGCTTTAGTTACCTCCCTTTGTGAAACAGACAAACCAGAGTTTTCCTCATCTCAGTGTTAACAAACTCTGAGTTTCCTCTAAACCTGCTTCTTGAAACGGACCCCTGGGGTCTGAAACGGCAGTTTCCTTTACAACATTATAATGTTAGTAATTAGTAATATTAGTAAAGCAAACGTGTGCGTCGCTCTAAAACGTCTTGTTCCCTGGATACAAACCAGTGAAGCCATTAAAGAGGAAACACATTATAGATTCAATTCCAGTTTTCACCAGCGATATTGTTCTTGTGATTAAATATGAGCATGGGTGTGTATTTCAAGTCAACCTACTCCGAGTTGATTGAACAAACTCTAAACAGCCGTTCTGAAACCCAAAACTCAGAGTTTTCCATCTCAGGGTAAATCAAGTCAGAGTTCAGGGTTTGACTCAGAGTTAAACTCAGAGTGTTAAACCTCCTACTTGAAACGGACCCCAGAAATACACTATCAATAATATTATTAGCATATTCTTGTGTTACTATTACTATTATTGTTATCATGATAATAATAATCATCTTTACTATAATTATACCTCAAGTTAGTATTATTAGTTGTTATAATATTATTATTATTATTATTGTATTCTCACTTGTTGTTTGTATTATTGTTCTTGTTGTTAATATCAGACCCTAATCATTGGTGCAATACTTGAGTTGAAAGAGAAATACTGCAGCTATACATATTCAAATGTATATGTAGATATATCTTTATATATGAAAACTAGAACAGTTTACATCATTGAACTACAATTCTGTGACTCTTCTCCTCTGTCTTTAATATTCAAGTCAGTTTGCATCAGACCACCTCATGTGTGCGTTCACAGTTCAGGTGCATTGTGGGAGATGTGAG